TACACTATTCACAAGTTCTACTTTGACTACATTTTACGATATTATTTTAGTAAAATTATTTTTTTTAAAAAGGTATTGTTCAATTCATCTCATCACATATTTCCAAAATCTGATTTTTAATTACTTTTTACTAATAGAGATTAAGATATAATTATGGTCAAAGACGTGCGTTGGCAAATGTGAAATGTTGACCGTTGCAACTAAAAAAGAACGGAGGAAGTAGTTATTACAAATGGGACACGACGGTTCGGGATAACCAGAAACCCGATCATGTCCCGTTTTAAACCAGTACGGGACCAGTGCGGATCCCAAACGGAACAGGACACCGCCGGTACGATTTTGGGATATACTGGAATGGGATAACGAGACCGGGATTCTTGCCCGCCCCTAATCTTTCCTACAATCTGCCTACATATCTATCATTCATTTGATTGGACCACAACACTTTATCATTTTTAATTTAGATTTAAATAATTCAACTGTTACATTCTCATTGATTCATGTGGACAAAGTGTGGTTTGTACCCTAGAATCTACGACATTTGAAATCATAGACACCTCTCAAGTCTTGCGACTCTTGCCCAAACTCAATCTTTTATCTCATTTTTCTCATATGAAAATACCAAAGGACCCCTTCCTATATGGGATATTTTGACTTTGCACCCTGTTTTTGGGTGATATTGGACTTTGCACCCCATTTTCAAAACTTTTAGACTTTGCACCCTATTTCCCCTAAAATATCTTTGTCTTTGCACCCCATTTAAGATTTTTTCTTCACAAAATGTTGTAGATAGAGTGCAAAGTCTAAAAGTTTTGAAAATGGGGTGCAAAGTCCAATATCACCCAAAAAGTGTGCAAACTCAAAATTCCCCTTCCTAGTTCCTATATTGAATGAGAACGATGAACTCCAAACTACAAAACTAAACTAATTCCGGAAGATAGCGTACACAGGTGTAGGGGTGAACAAAAAAACCGAAAAAACCGAAATCGACCGCCAAACCGACCGAAACCGACCGACCAAAACCGAAACCGACCAAAACCGAAACCGACCAAAACCGAACCGATAAAACCGAAACCGACCGAAAGTGACTAATTCATCGGTTATTCGGTTTACGGTTCATACTTTTGACTTAAAAAACCGGTCAAATGAAAATAAACCGGCAAAATGGGTAAAAATCGACAGAAAACGATACAAATTGACCAAAATTGACTCAATTTTTGCGGTCCGATTCTCGCTAAAACCGCCCGACTAAAAACCGAAACCGATCAAAACCGACCGACTAAAAACCGAAACCGACTAAAACCGAACCCATAAAACCGAAACCGCCAAAACCGAACCGACGAACACCCCTAGTGCTATCCCAAGAAAATAAAAAATAGTATGTTTTTAGTATCTCAAGCCCAATTTTTTTAATTAAAAATAATATCTAACATATATATTAACTAACTTAGGTTTGTATCTCACTCTCTCTACATTTGCATATAGTATCCCACATGGAGACACACAATTTTGAATAATTCTTTTTTTGCTTTTTTTAAAATTTTAATTTCTTCTTTTGCTAAACTTAATTAAAATCTAATACTCCGTAGCTTTTAGTTTTTTATGTGATAGATAACTTGTTATGAACATTAGTTAGCTTTTAAAATGTTAATATTTTGGTGCATGATACTTTAGAAATATTAATATCCTTTAATTATAAATAATGATTTTTTTGTTTAAAAGTACTCTTTTGTTAGTTTGGGACGTCCCGAACCGTTCCGAATTATTCCGGTCCCGATTTAAATGGGATAGACTAGGACAAAGGTGTATCCCATCCAATCCCGTACCATTATTACTAATTGGGGCCGGGACCGGGATAACACCAATCCCAGACCATTCCGACCCGTGACCATCCCTAGTGAAAATAACTTTTTCTCAACCGAAAAAAGGTAGAAAGTAAAAACTATTGTATTGCTAGTTCGTGCAAGTTAACATTTGTTCAATATTTTTTTCAAACAAAAAACATTTGCTCAATATAAAACAATATATTCCGTTTCTCTGTTAAAATACATTTTCACCATTCTTTCTTTAACATCTCAACTTCTACTACGTACTAAATTTTTATATAAAATGTTAAATTGTCACAATTACCTTTACTTTTATTCCTAATTTTTACTACACTTTTTTTTAAAGTAATACTAAAATGAAACTTATTAATGCGAGTATAATATGACTAGTAGCGGTTTGCACACATCACCTTTGCCCGCTCTACCCCTTTGCAGCTTTGTCCTACCATGCCATTGATAGGACATTGAGATCACTGTTATTCACAGCCACCGAGACTAAGGCGAGAGGCCAACTGTGGATTCCAGCACTCATCTCTACGCAACTCCACCTCTGCCCTCCGTTAGTCTAGCCTCGGCGTCACGCCTCCAACTTTGAACCTCTCACACTCCAGTTTGTTGCATTGTTGCGGTTTGTCTACCTCCAGGAATACAGTCGACGTCCATCCTGGCCTCTAGATCCATGTAAAGTTGTAAGAGCACGAACGACACATCCAAATAGGTATCAGATTCCATGTCTTGTTCTTCTTTTCTGGTTGTGTTTGTTCTCTGTTATGACAATTCTTTTCCGAGCACTAGTGCTCCAGGTTGTTTTGTCTCTCTCAGTGTGGGTAGTTGTTTTGGTGTCCTCGCCAGCTTAATCTGGCATGGATATCTAGCTGCTTTCTTTTGCGCTGCATAGATATTGGTAGAGTTCATCCTCCTCCAAAACTGTTATGTGCTAGGAAGAGTTTTGTGTCAAGGCTAACTTTATTTCAATTTTATTTTTCATACAGTATCACTTATTTTTATTTTATTTCGAGTATGTTTGGTTTGAATATTTTGATTTGTGGAGAGCTTTTGATAGACATCATTTCAGTTCTGATGGTTTTAGGCTTAAATTTGCTCGTTTTGTGTCTCGCGAATCAAATTATCTTGTATGAGATGGTTGATTCTATGTCTATTCCTAGAGCTATCGATCAGCTCTGTCATAACTGTCCGGAGGTTGTCTCGTATGATTTCTCGATATCAATATAAAAACTCGCTCTTTTATATTAAAAAAAATGACTAATAGTTACTATAGTATTATTTCATAGTCAATAAAGTGTAAAAATTGAACATAAGTTACTGCTATAGTTACTAGACTTAGAAAATTACATTTTTGTGAACATTTATTTTAATCATATACTTCGTATGTAGTTATTTTAATCATAAGTCAAAAGAAAGCTTATCTCATATGAATATCAGAATATGTATAGTGTATACAAATCAAATGGAACTTCTTCTAGAGATGGATGGAAGGATTATATAAAATGTGCATCATATATATTGAAATGATTGTTCTCTATATATATTGAAATGATTGTTCTCTGGAGTAATAAATGAACAAAAATAATTGTTCTATTAATAAAGTGGGAAATTTTCCAAAATAAAAGTATTGTTTTTCCCTAAATACGAATGAAGTGTTATCATTTTTCAGAAGTATATATTTTATTAATAAAATAGTCCGTATAAAAGAAAATACACAAAAAAGAAAGAAAAGAAAATGAAGAAACGGAAGCAAGCAAAAAATGCAAAACATAAATTCAATCCAGAGCCTCACAAAAAATCCCTCCCTAGACAGATATCCATATTCCTCGGTCAAAATCTCAAAGCTCCAATAATGTACGGAGTCTTGTTGAGATGCGATTCATGATCATTTTGTTTTAACATTTTTTTAATGTTCAAATTATGTTTAGATAAGCAATTATTTCACGTGTGGTGCGGTATAGTTTTTTAACAAATATCGTGATTTGTATTAAACCCCCATTCCATAAGTTCAAACTAACTATATGAAAACCAACCTGCCTGGATAACTCAGCTGGTCCAATGATGGAAAATTTGAAAGAATGACTAAGGATCAAAACTCGCAGCGGGCGTGTGGAGGTTACAGCTCTTGCGTGATAGGTGCGCACGGGTATAAGGTCTAACATTATTTGATCGACTGAGTCACCGTGACTTACTCCTCCACCATTCTGTCAGGTCGGGTGCAAGACTCCTGGGGTGGGAGATTACACCTTTTAGAACCACAAAAACTATATGAAAACCAAATAACACAATAGTGTACTGTTGTCGTTCAGGCAACAACTTCATCATTCCCCTAGATGTCTTCTTTTATTAGACCAAAATTAAAGTCCTTTGACATTTCCAGTAGTCTAATTCTATTTTTTGTTCTAGTTTTATTATCACTTCATTCATACTTTTATTCACATATATAAGTAGTCATTTTTTCATAATTGAGCTTTAATATAATACTAATTATATTTAAGGAAGTGTTTCCCATACAAATAAGTTATAAATGGGAAAATACCCAACAAATACATCTCAAAGCCTCCTTATTGCGCCTGATCCTAATGCTAATGCTTTATACGTAGTAACAATATAGGGAGTAATATTTTTGCACACTCGATTTCGCCTAAAATATATTTTGCATTGTCCATTACTACCTTCGTCCCTTTTTATTTAATCATCTTTGACTTTTCCAGTCAAAGGTGATAAACTTTGATCCATTATTTCAACTAATATATTTATATAAAACTTAATAAAATTATACTTTTATGATAGTATTTTTAACAAAGATCATTTTCATATAATTTTTATATTATCAATATTACCGTGTATACATATATAATCGGTCAAAGTTGAACAACTTTGACTTGAAAAAAGTGTTTGGCTAAATAAAAAGGGACGGAGGGAGTCTTATCCAACATTATTCAATTAAGATTGTCTCATTTTAATTTTAGTTCCGTTTCATTAAAACTATCTCATACTAAACTTGGTAACGTTTTGTGATTCTCAATTATTTTATTTTGTGTTAACTTTATTAATTTAATATCAATTACTACTAATATAAATTCTTTTTTTGCTAACCCACCGCCTCCTCGTCTTATAAGTTGTATCCATGCTAGTGGGACGGGCAGTATTATGGAATATATATTTTTTGACTAAAGTATTATTATGGAATATTTAAAAATAAAAAAGGAGCCCATGAAAAATGGACCCAAAGCATTACCGCGCCAAATTTCAAAGCTTAAGAAACGAAAAGGCAGAGCACTTCCGATTTCGGTAGCTAAATAACAATGGGAGAAGAACAAGTGTTCCCAAACAGCAACGAACTCGTGGTTGCAGAAGCTCTTCTCCTCCTATGCTTCACGCCTCCGTCTCCTTCTCTTCCCAGGTAAAATTTGAGTCCTCTCTCTGATTTCACTTGAGCTTCATTTCAATTCGTTGATGCCAGCATTCATGTTCTGCACTTCTGCTTCCTTTTTTAAGCATGATCAAACACGAGAGCTCCTTGCCGTTAATTGATTTGAGCACTGGAACTGTTTGCTTCTCCAATTCAAATTCAAAACCACAATCGTGTGCCTCTACTTTGTCTGATGTGACCTGGGATGGTGATGGCTCATCTGTAGATGCTCAATCACATTCATGTAGGAAGAAGCTTGAGGTAGAGTTCATGTTTTTCTGGAAATTATTGCTGAAGCTCATATTAGTATGCTTATTTCTAATTTGAATCACATGCTCATAATATCTGACACATGCGTGAAGCTACCTGTGAATACGAAATATATTGATTTTCAAATTCAGTAATCCAGAATTTCAAATGTTGGATTACTGACTGTATATACCTACGCTGCAATTTAAATTATGTTTCAGAAATATACTTTGATACAGGTTTTTTCTACTTTTTCTCTGATTGTTGAGACTGAGCTCTGTGACCAACTGACCACACTGGTTAACTTGGTCAGCAAGTTTGTTGGTTTCATTCAAATGGATTTTGTTTGATGATAGATTTCGTAATGGCAATGCTTATGTTATGTGCTTTGAGATCTGTAATCTGTTCTGTTTTTATGATCGATCAGAGCTTGTTATTTCTGAAATCTACTAAATGGCTGATTCAAATGTGAAGGTGGTTCGGAAGAAGAGGTCACTGAGCTTCTGCATTTCTGATGAAGAGAAAATCTGCCCAGTAAAGGAGATGTCAGTGGTAACTAAACCGCTTGCTGCCTCTTCATGCCTGTCAAATGAGTCTGGATCCAGCACCATTTCCAGCGCAGGTAGCCTTGGCAGCGCTAGCATCGTGGGGAAGCAGCGGGACAAGGCAAAACCAGTGATTGAAGTGTTGAAATCAAAGAAAAAGCGGCCAGAGTTGACACACATAAGACGCCGGTCAGAGGCTATCTTGAACATCTTGTCTCATGGATCCGCTTCTGAAGTCAAGATCCGCAAGCTTCTCGGTGATAGCCCTGACACCAGCAAAGCCCTGAGATTGTAATATCTTCTTCTCTATCTCCCCTCTGCCGCTCTTAATTCCCACTTTTTTATTGTAATTGGGAGTATATTACTCTGTGGCACTGTTCTTTTCTACAACCTTTGCTGACTAGGAAATGGTGATGCTCCATATAGAGAACACAAAATTTATTTGTACACAAGATTTGTAAACATTTTGTACAATTGTTCAAAAAAATTATATGTACATCGACAATTGTCACATTGTGTCTGTGTACAAAAATTATACAAATTTTGTGTACAAGTAGAATTGCCCTACAAGGAATAACTGGTACCACTGTTATTTAGCATTGTTATTTAGAAATGTCTAGTAATCGATTGTGAGTCCTGACACATGGTGTATTGTAGGCTGCTCAAGTTGGAAGAAGTGACAAGATCAGGGGCTGGAGGACAAAAAGATCCATATATTTACACAGTAATTTTATAATTCCTCCTAAATATATGTCTTGAGAGCTTTTTCCTTACAAGTTTACATTTTATTATAAACATAGTGAAACATGATTTTTTATTTCCCTACGATTGCCTCGTTAAACAAAAAATATTACTCCGTAGTCATTTGCTGATTATTTTCATTAGATATATATTCAAATGACACTCCATTTTTCAAGGTTAGTTCATAAATAGTGATTTTAAATAATGCTAGGCGCTCCATAAGTTTATTAGAGTCAAACATGTAGGTTATTAATATGTACGCCAAAAAGAGAGGTCTTAGCTTTAGGGTGGAACTAGGTGGCTATTTATAAAAGAATAGTCATAGGAGGTGTTTACTTCACTGCTAAAGTCACAGTTAGGTTAGTAAGACAGGTGAAGTAAACACGCACGCTGCTTAAAAAGCCGCTTACTAACCGAAAGAGGTGCTTAAAGTGCCGCTTATTAAGCATACCACCCCCCATGTATTAATTAAGCGGCACTTTAAGCTTTTTCAGTTTCCGAATTTACCCCTTGCCCTTACCCTATTGTTACCCATGCCCCACCTCGACCCCAACCCCAGCCCCACCCTACCCTTACCCCAACTACCCTACCCCTACCCGACCCCACCCCTACCCTACCCACACCCAGACCCCACCCTACCACCTACCCCACCCCTACCCTACCTATCCGACCCCACCCTACACGTACCCCACCTACCCGACCCCACCTTACCCCTACCCTACCCTACCCTGACCCAACCCACCCTACCCTACCCTACCTACCCGACCCCTACCCTACCCTGACCCAACCCAACCCTACCACATCCTACCCCTACCCGACCCCACCATACCACTGCCCTACCTACCCGACCCCACCCCTACCCTACCTACCCGACCACACACCTACCCCTACCCTACCTACCCCACCCTTTACCCACCTACCCGACCCCACCCTACCCATACCCTACCCTGACCCTCCCCTTACCCCCGCCTTAACCCCCACCCTACCACTACCCTACCTACCCAACCCCACCCTACCACTACCCTACCTACCCAACCCCACCCTACCCTACCTACCCAACCCCACCCCTACCCTACCTACCCGACCCACCCTACCACTACCCGTACCCTTACCCCACCTACCCCCACCCCACCCTATACCCCGACCCCATCCCTTACCCCACCCTATACCTAGGGTGGTGGGGTCGGGGTGGGGCCGATGTGATAGAGGCGCTAGGGGCAGGGTAGGTGCAGTGGGGTCGGGGGTAGGGTTGCAGCAGGGTGGGGTCGGGTAGGTAGAGTAGGGGTAGGGTGGGGTCGGGTAAGGTAGGGTAGGGTAGGGGTAGGGCCGGGGTTGGGGTAAGGTGGGGTAAGGTGGGGTCAGGGTGGGGTTGATGTGGTAGGGGCATATGGGGTCGGGGGTAGGGCCGCGGTAGTGTAGGGTGGGGTCGGGTAGTGGTAGGGTAGGTAGGGTGGGGTAGGGGGTGGTGGGGTAGGGGTAAGGGGTGGGTAAGGGGTTAGGGTGTGGGTACACATATTATATTATATTATATACTTGTGTTCATGAATGTTTGTGTGTGTATATATGTATAAGGTTATTTTGGACATTTTAATGTTAAGCGGTGTTTTAAACCGTTTGAAGTAAACACAGTCTTACAACATTGTTTATTTTATGCGCCGCTTATTAACACGGGTCTTAATAAGCACCGTTTAATAACCTGTGAAGTAAACATGTCCATAGAGATGACCACTAATGCTGGTCTGCTGGAGGATGATACCTTATAAAACCGTCACCGTGCTTATAATTGAAAAACAGATCTTCAACATTGGAAAATTGGATTGCAATGAAAATGAATTTGGTAATTTACTTGTTTATATGATTATATCGATATAAAATTATGTGTAGGAATACACCGATACAACGGCAGTGCATCTTTTCAATTTTCCTTTTTTTCTATTTCCAATTGGAAGATTTTCTAAACTAAAAGTCTAAAACAGAAATTTACTCAACTGCTCTAATTCTTTGTACTTTCTTTTTTTGAGTGCAGATAAAGTGAGAATTTAAGCAGACCATCACATAAATTACACCAAATGAGCAAACTTCGGAAAGGGGAATGTTAAATTTTTAATAACTTCATAGATGCATGTGTATAACTCCACTACTTACGGTATAGTGGTATAGTGGACAGATCAATTATTGTGATGCTTTTAACTTGTAAGTATATATAAAGATCAAAGACCTACAAGTACTTCATCAAGTACTACAGTTCGAACATAAATGGAAGCTATATTACTTTTTGAGTTTCATGTTCCTAATGTCTCCTTGGAATGAGGGATACAGAGGGCGAGATCTCCTGAAACTGAAAACATCCTCAATGTGAACAAAGTTGGGGCCTGCAGACTCACATTTCTCGGCTTTGTACTCTGATGAATGAGAGCTGCCATAGACTCGCACGCTCGATGTCTTTCTCTTAGGAGAATCCACACTGACATACTCATCGAAGAAACCAATCAAGTCCCCTTTGGTCAGTTGCTTCAGTGCTTTAACCTATATTGACAAACAGTAGAGAGCTCTGAGGACTATAATGCATTTATCAGAAGATCTCTATGAACTATAATGTTATGTGTACTGTAACCTTATAGTGATGAAACAGTAGAACCCTGAGTACGATAATGTGTGTAATCTCGGTTACTCGCTCTGTCGAAAAAGTTATTTTTGAACATTTAATTTGTCCCAAAATACATTCTGTTTAATCAACAAAACTAATTTTCTAGTAATCTGTCTGTCTCATTACAGGAGTCCGAAACAAGCTACATATGATAAAATATAGTTAATCAACCAAATCCTTTTTAGAATGAAAATTTCGTATTTGGACCCCATGTTTTCCCCAGTATTTGACTTGCATGTTTTATTTTCTTAGTTTGCACCAAGAACGCCCCAGAGCTAGTAATTTCTATTAGACTTTGCACCCCCATTTGTAAGCCTTTACCCCACATGGATTACTACCTTATTATTTGATTCTTCACCCATCTCGGTTGCTTGGGAATACAAAGTCAAAGAATAATACGAAATGCAAAGTGAAACATTGTGGTCCTTGGGTGCGAATACAAAATTACCTTTTTTAAACAAGTACTAGTATTATTTAAAAATCATGACCGTGTATCGGTGGTCAAAAAAGACTCTTGTTTTTGTTGGTGGGGGGGTGGTGAGAACAACTTATTCACATAAGCATGACTCACATTCACATTTTCCGTAAACATGAGGTTAGGAATCCATTTTAGAGTTTTCCATTGACAGGGCCAGTAAGAACACAGATTCGTACCTCCATTTCTACCCTATTGAACTTATAAGTTCCGCCAGAAATTTCCCACCAGAAATAATCAGTCTCCTCTCCTAGATTCTTAAACTTTTCAAGCTTCACATCAACAAGTGCATTGACTTTGTTCTGCATTATACAAATATTACATCAAATGTTAGTCAACAAGAAATTTTATCCAATGAATCACATGTCACATTCCAAGAAGCCTGTGTGGAATTTCACAATTTTGTCCTTATAATGGAACATGACCATAAGATACAGTATTGCACTGAGGTATCAAGCTAAACTGGAATAGATAAGTAAGCTGACCTTAAATTCATCATTGGACATCTCTGACAGCTTACCCTTGAATGTGGCAAGAAACTCCCTAACTCGGGACTCCACATAGCTAGGATCCTGTCAATAGCATTACATCTGATTACAATACATGGGAAGTATTTTCATGCCAAAGTCGGATAAAAGAAACATGCGGATAGAGAGTAATGGGCATTAAGACTTGAGAGAGATATGGTAGGGAATGGGAACAAAATGCCATGACAACTATTTTTAAAATGTTAAGATTACCTTGGAAAAATACAACGGAAAAATCATATTTGATTAAAACATTTTAAAAGCTTACATATATCTAAATATTCGGCTTTTTATAACAGAAATACATAAATTGATAGTTTTTCAGAAAAAAATTACAACATCCAAGCCTTAATCCCAAAAGATTTTGGGGTTGGCTAACATGAATCAATTTGCACTCAATTCCTCACTGCCATTTTTCAAAAACCATCTAAAATTGATATACATAGTGTGAAACATTCTTTCCCAAGTTTTTTACCAAATTTGCATTCAATTCCTCACTGCCATTTTTCTTTCCTTATCATTTTCTGAGTCCCAAACAAGACCCAAAGAAAAATGATATCCAATAATGGTCATAACCCAAACCAAAACCAAATGTATTTATCGGATGCTAACCTTCATAGTGCAAAAATATGGATGATTATTTGTTTCAGGGACCTCATAATTGAGTAGACTAATAGCAAACGCTTGATGGATCACATACCTTAACAGATGATTGGACAATAAATTGCAACCCGCGAACTCCAGAATCATACCTATAGTGAGAAAATCTTAACTTCTTGAGAACTAAGAAAACAAATTGGTGATAGCTATAACACAAATTTCACCTAATGGAAATGATAAAGGGACAAAAATAAAACATTGTCCATATACCTCCGAGAAAGTGAAGTAATGTAACCGAGCTGCTCAACAGACCTCAGTTGGTCAAAGGCCGGTTGCTTTGCTATCAATTCAAAAAGTTGGAGTTTTACATTCAGCTCAAACTCATCAAGGCCAACCTATAAATTCACATTTATTATGCGAAATAATTACAAATTTATAACTAAAATAAAAGGAATCTACAAAAATGTGACCTCTTAAGTGTAGTGTCTATAGTAGTAACTTTGGTCATAGTAATTTATGTTCAATTTTTACACTTGAAATGACAATGACATTATACTCGTAGTAAATTTGCCACTTTGGTCATATTTTTGAAAATAAGTTTTATGCCAGTAATATATTTTAAAAAAATTCAATATTATGCATTAATATTGTGTGTCTATATAAGGTGTGTGTCTAAATATATAAGGTGAGGTTCCAGTAAAAAGAAACTTTTAGGCGAGAAATGAGAATGAATTTCGACCGTTGATTCAACGATAGCGCACTAAAAGAGCTTCATGTTTCATTAAAAGATGCAATCATATGCGATGGCATTTTTGTAAATACTTCTAAAAATCCCCGGTTGCATTTATAAGTGCAACATCGTCGAATCCAACAACTGAGATTCATTCTCATTTCTCAAGTTAGATGCATTTCTCACTTGAAACCATATATATAAATATATATTCTCCACATATATTTATATTGTGTCGACATTATACTGCATTCTTTAAGTGATTGAAAAAATGAATATCCCTCATGTTCAAAGTCAACATATGTGTGTGTACTGTGTATACCAAGTACCAACATAGACTTGCTGGGATTTGCATTATTGTAGTATTTAAGCTTTAGGGGGTGTTTGCAACTGCTTAAAAAAAAGCTCTCCTCGGCTTTTGGCTTTAAAAAGCTAAAATTAGTGTTTTCAAGTTACAACTTCTACTTAAAAAAGTGTTTCTCGACTTTTTCGCAAAAAGTGCTTTTTACTTTTTCTATTACACAAAAAACACTTATTTACCAAACACTTCCAACTTTTACCTTTCAAAATTACTTTTTTCTCAAACACTATCAACTTTTACTACTAATCACTTTTTGCAAAATCACTTCCAAAAGTGCTTTTTTTTAAGCAGAAGCAGTTGCAAACACTCCCTTAGTATGTAAAGAGCTAGGCATCTAGAAAAAATCCAATTCATCATAAGTTCATAACAGAGAAATATATTCATCACAATAGAGAACTTGGTAAAATCTGGGCAGACTTAAAATCAATAGAGAACAGATGGTTTTACAAGTGCTAGGGGAATGGAAATATATGCAAGCAAGGTTACATCTGTTGTCCTTATTTAGTGTCAATTTTTTTGAAAATGACTTTGCCTGAGTGGCTGAGCCTTAGACTCTTAGCACCGCGGGATTTAATAAAACGGTGCAGCTAACTAAACTTTTAATTGTCGAAGTCTGTGGCATTGTGTGTATTTATTAGTAAAATACTAAACAAATTAAGTACTAAACATATGCATTTTTACTATACTCCCTCTGTATTTTAGAATTTGCTACACTTTCCATTTTGGGATGTATTTAAAAGTTTGCTACACTTTCCCCTTTCAGTAAGTTTTCCCTTTAAAAATACTCAAATACCCTTACTTTTTCTACTTTTTATCTTCTCTTATCATACTTTTACACTTTATCTCCTACTTTTTCTACATTATTCATTACCCCTACTACTTTCCTACTTAAATAATGTGCCAAAGCCTATTGTAGCAATCTTTAAAATACGGAGGGAGGGAGTATATTTATTTCTCATGTACCTGAATATAATGTGAGAAGGCCGAATTTTCATCACTTGGATTTAGTCCCTCTGTATAGTATAAATACTGTGTGCCTTGTGCAAGATCAATGACTCGGCTTGTCAAATGCTCAGATGCAAACAAAGCCCGGGAGATGGGATGTGGTCCCTTGTAAAGTAAATCTTCAATGCGTTGGATCACTGACTCTGCTTCATTTGATTCAGCATTTCCTGAAAAGTAAATGGTAAGAGTGAACTTATATTAGTGTAAGGCTTTAGAAGAACCTCTAGAAAAGTTCACATTTATTGAATAAACCTGTTACATAGCATTCTAGAAAAGTTCTTGACAGCAGCAAAGGGTAGAATCTAGAGAGACTATCAACATCAAGAGAAGGAAGGACTTGTAGTTCATGATCCCAAGACCAACTTTTCTCCTGCAGTGTCAATGAGCAGTAGTACATTGCTTGTTCGTAAGGCTGTTGGCTCTTGATATTTTTGTATTTTCTGGTCATCAATTCCTGCAAGGCATAAAATTGAAGTCCCAAAAGAAATAAACTAAAAAAAATCACTTCACGCTACAAGTTTTAGTTTTCACACTCTATTTCCAACCTGCACTTTTTCAGCTCTTATTGCAACAATTGCTATTTAAAATGGGTCTATTGAAACTCCTTTAGGAACTAAGTCCAGTTGTAATGATGCACCAGCTGCGTGTGAGAGAAGTCATTTTTTAGCCTATGAACGAAACAATCTATTGAAACTCCTTTAGGAACTAAGTCCAGTTGTAATGGTGCACCAGCTGAGTATGAGAGAAGTCATTTTTTAGCATATGAACGAAACAATAAAAGGTAATACTAATGCTTATGGCACCAATTTCATCGGTGTAGCTAGAGCTTCACAATTTTTTAATTTGGGTGGGCCGAAATTTAATTAACTCGTGTAAACTTGTGGTTAGAATTGAGTCTGTGTGGCCAAGCCTCCCAGGTTGCCCCCTAGATATGCCTTGCGCCAATGAAAATGTTTTTTGAGCATGGCACAAAGCAAACAGAAGAAAAAAAAAACTTTACTACTCCCTCCATCCCGCTAAGATTGTCCCATTTTACCTTTTCGGGAAATCCCACTAAGATTGTCTCATACCAAATTTGGTAAAGTTTGTGTGGCTCTAAACCATTCTTACTTTATTTTTACTTTATCAATTTAATATCAACCACACAAACACACTTTTCTTAATAACCGTCCCACCTTCTCTTGTCCCAATCTTAGTGGGACGGAGGTAGTACATTATAGATCCTAGTCATATGAGACAAGAAAAGTCAGACAACAAATGAAAAAAAATCATTAGTACTACACTGCTACAGATGTTTTTACTATATACAATGCTTTATTACAAAATGCATATAAGTTCACTCAGTAAAAACATTATACGTAGTAACTATTCATGACCTTTGCGCATACAGTTCAGCTACATGAAAGAAGTAAAATTATATCATGTAAATTATTAAACAAAAAGTCACCAACAAGTTCAAGAGGTCTCATGGTGAGAAGAAATGATGACAATTTGAGCGTACCTTTATAACAGAGAATCTATCTGGTTTAACTTCAAAGTTCAGAAGTTTATCAATTACTTTCTCCAGCAACGTTGTCATTTTTTGACTGTATCCACCAACAGATACCTGAAGGAAAGCATAAGAAGCTATGTTTCCAAATGTCTATTTCATTTACAAAGTTTATAGTAGCAAGGCTAAGTTTATTCTTTGAGAAACTGTTTGACGACTACAACAACAACATCCAAGCGTTATTTCCAAAAGATTTTGGGGTCGGCTAACATGAATTGACCCATGTAGGGGTGCAAACGAGCCAAGCCGTTCGCGAGCTGCTCATGGATCGCTCGGGAAAAGCTCGACTCGAGTTCGGGCATATTCAAGTTCGGCTCGAGTTCGACTCGACTCGTATAGTAAACAAGCTCGAGTCAAGCCTCTTTATTTTAGGCTCGTGGCTCGCGAGCCGGTTCGCGAGCCTTGATGTTGTATATAATTATATATATATAATATTTTTGAAATAATTACTCTAATTTAGGATTACTCTATTCTTAATATACTTCTCACTGTCGGTATATTATAATAGAAATAATTTAATGAAACATTATTTATTATTATAATCATTATTTATAATAATTATAATATATAATACGAAGTGAGTATTAGTTTTTTGTTAGTTCACTAGGAATTGGAATAAACTAAATCGACATAAAAATTTACACAAACGTGTTAGCAGGCTGGGTGGAAATTCCCTTGAAGGCTTCGTATGCCACCCGAGTTCGAATCCCCTCTGTGGCAGACTTTTGGGTACTCCTAAAGTCCTAATCCATTTGTTTTTAGTTTCTAATCTCTAAACTTCCCACACCGGAAAGTGAGGAAAAATTTCCTCTAGCAGCCAGCTATAAACACCTCATATCCACAATCCATGGCAACAATTGAGCACCAAGCAAGTTGCGCATCATCAAATTTTGATGAAATGGCAAAGCTTTTGAGTCCATCTCGAGCGGCTCGCGAGCTCAACTGAAGCTTTCGAGTCGAACTCGAGCTTCAATATTTTAAGCTCGATCGAGCTCGAGCCGAACTCGAGCATATAAAATATTTTCGAGCTCGAGTTCGAGCATATGTGAGTTCGGGCTCGGCTCGGCTCGTTTACACCCCTAGACCCATGACATTAGAGCCAAAGAGAAGAAAGATAAGAAAAAATAAAAGACGAGATAAGATAAAAAGGATAAGATAAAGATACTTATAAATCATATAATATAGGAAAAATTACATTAAATAATACCAACTATCTTCCATGAACCAAGAATAATATGTACTTTAGAAATAACCTTTAATTATACCAACTATTAGAATATATATCAAAAGTGATATAATGCAAAATTTCACTAAAGATTTAGTCATTTAACTCATAAAAAACTAATATCAAAATATCAAATAAGTGACCGTATTTACAAATATCATTTAATTGATGGATTAATATTAGTTGTTGACTTAAATGATCGGATTTCTTGTAAAAAAAAGTGACTCCATATTATTTTTGTTCTACATTCAGATAGTTGATATTATTAAAATTTAATTTTAAAGTACGTATTAGTATTGGTTCATGGAAGATAGTTGGTATTATTATAGTTATTTTCCCTATAATATAAAAATAACATGAGAACATAAGAAAGATAAAAGATAAAAAAATAAAAGAACCTAAGACAGATAAAAGATAAAAATAACATAAGAACATAGAAAGAAGATAAAAAAATAAAAGAGAGAGAAAAAAGAGATCAATCGTCCACATGAATATGCACCCTCCACTTTGCTCTCTTTAAAGTCATACTCTCATCTTTTTTAGCACGAAAACTGAATCTTATTAAAATAAAAGTTTATAGAAATGTAGAGCTAAATACTAAAAAGACGTTAAAGAAATAAACTAAAGAGATCTAAGCCTCATTCGATCAACATCATCCTGTAATAGCTAAAATCTTAACTTGAAGTCGAGCACTTCTTTTGGGTATCATTTGAGAACTTAATTTCCAATTTGAATCGCTTAGTCGATCAAGCAACTTGATATGAGTTTTCTCGCACTTAAAATAGATCGTAGTAAAGGGTGTAAGTACGAATATCGTCTCCACCGGGACGGGAAAATGGAATTAAGTATTAATTAAATTCAGCGATAAAAAGAAATAAAATAAAATGCAATTGATTGGTTGTGGGAAAATTAAAATGCAACTAAACGATTAAAATAAATGATTTCTCTCTAATTAATAACGAAGGGAACAGGGATTGATTCCGGGGTAATCAGATTTCTGGCAGATCAAGCTTAATCACATGAAAATTATTTAATTGAGCAACGTTAATCAATACTAAGTTCTAACCGCTCTCGCGGCGTAGAGTACAATAACTTAGGGAACCAGGCTAATCTCTCATGCGACAGGTATCTAAAATTATTGCCAAAACGAGTGAGTGTACGGCTCCTTAACCGGTACTAATCTCTTAGCGAACGATTAGTGTGTGTGAAAGTGTCCTAGAATAAATTAGATCTCTCTTAATTTATTCTACATGCAATTGTAATTCTAGTGGTCATTCTAGGTTACAAGAGATATAAATTAAATCATTCATACACAAATTAAATAAAGATTCATGCAAGTTAAACCATCAAGAAACTAGCGATACATCATGAATAACCCCTTCATCAATCCCAAATCCCTAATTAAAACTACTCACAATTCATAATATAAAAATCAATAGAATTGGGAAACAAAGAATTAATTGTCATTAATTAAAAAGATGGAACTTACAAAGAATCCCAAAATATTGATGAACAAGGTTGAAAAGCTCTCTAAATTTCGTGGTAGGCACTCTCTCTAAGCTCGGTAACCTCAAAATAGGGGTTTAGAGGTCTTATTTATAGAAAACGGGTGAAATATGAGCTGAATTGGGATTTCCAGAGGCAGGCACGACTGTGCCTGGCCTCCGGTGGCTGGGTACCTCATTCTTCTACAGGCACGGTGTTGTTTCCTTCAGTGGGCACGGCGTGCCTGACTTTGGGCGCACAGCGTGCCCCCTTCCTTTCCGAATTTGATTATGCTTCCTTCATGAAAGTTGTAGATAATGAAGTTCTCTATCCACCACAACTTGCAAAACCGGATTGGAATCATCCAATCAAAAGATATGAATAAAATGGTGGAAGATCGCATTCTGAAATCGCAACAGTGATCATCTGACTTCCCCGTCTGTTTTCACCTTTCTCCTCTCAGATTCTCGCAATAGTGTCTTCATATGATTTGTAGCCCTTGAAGTTAGCTTTCATATGGAACTTGAATCGTGTCCTTTGGATGTTTCTACAAAAAGATATGTTTGAACGATTAACAAAAGGTGATCCTGATCGCCGTTTTCAAGCTCTATTCGTCTTCTTTTGATCCCGTAGCCACTCCTAAAGCTCTTTTGTCGTCAAAACTTTGTCGAAAACCTCCCAGTGACCTCTAAAGTTCTCGATTCATTCTCAAATGCATCTCGAATCATCCCGATTGCTTCTCAAGCGCCGGTGTTGGGCTTAAATTCCCTGATTTTGACTCCAAACAATACAAAATAATTACCCGGTAGCTACCAACACCCGATAGCTATGACTTGAGCTAAATATGAGACTTGTGACACAAAATAATTAGGGAAACCATCAAAAGCCGATCTAAACACGCATCGAATGCGTGTCTAAATGCAGACTTATCACAACTCTCGATCAGAATCATAACCCGAGGATTCATCATCTTCTGAACTATCAATAACCTCGCCATGAAAGGCACCCTCTAAAATCAAAACATCCTTATTTTGTCCTTCCTGACAAGAGACTCAAAGAGGGATAACATCAATGACCGTCTTCTAAATCGCAAATACTCTCTTCGGCTTTACCACCAATGACCAAGGTCGTCTCCTCAAAAATCTCACCCAAATCTTCCGCAACGATTTCCCCTAAATGGAGTTTTTTGTCACTTTTGGTCCCTCGACTATTATGTATGTTGATAAAACGAAGAGACATCATTAATCTTGGATTTATTTTTCTTATTATTACTGTAATTATGTGTCTTTAGTGCTTCAGGTTGTAATTAATAGTTGTTGTCTTTTCAGTTCTCAATCATTTATGTTTAGTATTTAGACAGTCACCTAGGGTACTGAATAGACACTCTCAGGCTTTCTATCTGTACAAATAGCTTCTATTCTTCTTGTAAATGTATCATCAAATAATAATATACAGAAAACTTCAATGTCAGTGACACTTGTGGCACTTAACTTCTAATTTTTCCATTTTTTGTCCTCGACTATTGTGCTAGAGACACTTTTAGTCCCCGACTTCAAGGTTTTTCACATTTAGTCCCCTGAGTATCATCAAATTGACACTTTTAGCCCTCTCATTATGATTTTGACACAATCAGTGGAGGACTAAAAATGCCACTATCATAATAGTTGAAGGACCAAAAGTGTCACTTTTATGAAAGTTGAAGGACTAAATGTGTAAATTTTCAAAAACGGGTACAAAAGTGTCTATATCGCAATAGTCGAGGGCTAGAAATGGAAAAAATCAAAGTCAAGTACCGAAAGTGTCAATGACATAATAGTCGGAGGATCAAAAGTGGCAAAAACTTCCCCTAAATGTCTCTCCGAGATTCCTCCATACTATGGTCTTGGCAAATAAAAAAGCTCTAGATCCTTGTGAACTTTCTCTGAATTAGGAGAAGAAATGTCATATATATAAGCTGATAAGCAAGTCTTGCTGAAAACGCTTGGAAGAGATTGATCCCAAACATTCAGTCCTCGAATCCTCAAATAAAGAATCGGCACAAACCCTCTGGGTGAGGTGGGTCAACGGGGTTTACCTCAATGGTAGGAGTGTGTGAGATTTTATCCCACACAATCGTGACTCATTGTTCATGAAGAAATTGAGTCACATCCGGGATCAAATTTTGGGATGCTTTAACAATTTGAATGATACCATTATGGGCCTAAATAGTAGATCCAAAAATGGTAAACTCCTTTCCGGAAAGATCTATGAATTGTTGAGAATTAAAGGGACGCCGAGTGTGTGGATGAGCTTCATTTGGAAGTCTTATATCCCTTCGAAGTTTTCATTCAATGTCTGGCTTGCTATGAGGAACCGGTTACCTACACAGGATAACCTCGGTTACCTACATATTGTTAATCGTTGTGACCTATGCAAGGGTGGATTGGAAACATTGTCACACCTATTTTTTCGTTGTCATTACACCTGTAGGGTCTGGGAAAAAATTAAGGAATGGTTGGGCATGACTCGAGAGATGACCACGCTCTACAGCTCCGTCAAATGGATCTTGAAGGATCATAAAGGATCAAAGATCAATGGGAAGGCTGTCCGGATTGCGTTTGGTGCCGCGGTTTACTACCTTGGGCACGCTAGGAACGCCAACAGATTTGATGAAGGGGACGTCAAGGAAGAGGAAGTCATTGCAAAAATCAAGCATGTGGTGTATAAAATACTTTTCAATTTATACCCGCATGATTTGATTAATTTCTGAGTAGAAGACCGCGACATGGATATAATGGATGTCGCGGTTTTGGATAGACCGCTACATGTTAGTTTGGTGCGCCGAGGCATGAACATTATGGGTGCCGCGGCTTGGGCACTTGGTACACCGTGGCATGGACATCATGGATGTCGAGACATGAAGAATGGTCTTGGACTTTATGGTGTTTGATTTTGCAACACCTTTTGTACTTTATTTAGAACTTAGCCTCTGATCTGTGTGCGTGCATGGGCAGCATCAATGTATTTTTTGAACCTCTTGATGGGCCAAGTATTATACTTGGTTATTTTGGCATAACTTAGATCAAATAAAAACCTCCTTTCATCCTCACTTTATGTGGGGGTGGGGGAGGTTTTAGGAGATCTAGGATATGTGATGTATAGTTTTTCTGGGTGTTAATATATATTTACATTTCATCCCAAAAAAAAAGAATCGGCACAAACTACCCCATGATCAGTCAAATCAGTTACCAAAACCTCTTTCTTCACCTTTTGTAACGAACCAACCTTGCTTTGTAAAGTAGAACTAAAAAGTTGAAAACCCAGTCCATTTCTACCCTTTAGTGTAATAGTAGTATGTTTACCCCTATTATCAAATATCACCAAACGAAAGAAGCATCAAAATCTATTTGCTTCTAAAGATAAGCTTAGCTTTCGTGAATTTTCATATCGAGTGATTGTCCATGAACTTTGGGATTGAAGATGACAAAAAGCTTCACAGAGCCATTCAACTCCATTCACATCAAGATCCAAAGAAAAACAATGACGATCCTTGATTTGACTAATTCGAAGCATTGCAGATGTAACATAAAGCAAAAAAAAATATTACTTTCTATTCGAACTCATTGAAAGTGATTCAAACTTGTCAAATTTGAACCTGCGTTTCTGGTCATAAAAGCATGATGTTGACACTCTTGCCATGACCGTCCCTGATCTTCTGGAAATCAATCAGCTGCTCATTCTGCCGTTGATTCCAGCTTTTGACGGCCGAAGAACTGAACCTGCCGCCTCCTTCATCCCTGAAAAAAGTCTCTCACCGATGTAGCACTGCTCCCCCAATTCCGTCGCCCAAAGTTCTGCCATTTTCTCAAGCGAATTTGATGATTATTCCTATCCCCAGCCGAAACTCTGTAAGCTGTTAATTTATCACGCAAATTGCGGCCGGAACAGTGTGCGCGACGCTGAGAACCCAAGCCGAAAACCCTACGGAAGAACTCCAGACGCGGCCACTCCCTGTCTTGTGACCCTGCACCAGATCGATCGAGCTCTGATGGTGATGCTCCAAATCGACCATGCTCTGGCGGCGCTGCTCCCAATCGGCGATGTCCCCAAGTCGACCACGTTCCATATCGGCAAAAATCCCTCTTCCCCGATTGAAAAATCGTCATCCGCTCTCAGCCATACTCTCATCCAACCCAGGAAGAAGCATATCAATTCTGATTCTTCTAATCCAAGTCTGTTTGGGTCTTCCTCTCCATCTCCTTCCCGCATCTTCTTCCCACCTCTCAACTCATCTCACAGGTGCATTACTCGCTCTTCTACGTCATACTTGTCACAGCAGTATGGCGAGTTGCGACGCCAGCCAACCGCCATATCACCTAGGCGACAAGGCGACCATTAGGTGACTAGTCCCACATTGTATAATATATTATATGTCATATATATAGCTATATATATATGATATATTTATATATAACATTCTATTTATCTGTATTTAATTTGTAATTTATTATATATTACATAATACATATGATATATTACTAATTAAATTGTATATTACATAGAATTGATACCAGCAATTAATAAATGAAAAAAAGGTTTATGAATGCATGTGTATATACAAAAATCAATCGACTATGTGTATAACTTAATTAATTAAAGTACTTTTTATTAATAGTTTAATACTGTATAACAAATATTAATATACAAATTAATATTAACGGAATATATCACATACTGGTGTCTCCTTCCTCAAGCGACATTAATGTACGTCTAATTACTACTTCCTCCATTCTTTAATTTTTGCAACATTGTGATTTTTGCACTATTCACCGACCTTACTTTGACCATGATTTTCTACTAATATACATAATCAAATTATTACGTATAAAGTGTTATTCAATTCCTATCATTGTGAATTTCCAAAATATCAACTTTTTATAATGTTTACTAATACATAATTAAATATAATTACAGTCAAAATTGTGCGTTGGCAAACGTGAAAGTCAAACTGTTGCAAGAATTAAAGAACGGAGGATAGTATATTTAATATCAAATTAATATAATAGAAGTAATAGTTTGATTCTCTCATTCCTCAAGTGATCTTTTCTGGTCTGTCCACATATCCAACACAACATACGCATCTCTGTCACACTCATCTTTTATCCAACACTTTATGTCATACATTAATGTACGTCTAATTATTGTCTGATAAAATTTATCCTTCAGTCTAGTCGACATACCTTGATCACATAGAAATCTTGATGCACTCTTTCATTTCATCCACTCTGCTTTGATTCTACGGGATAGATCTCCATCTAATTCACCATCCTTTTGAATTATGGATCTCAAGTAACGGAATATATCACATACTGGTGTCTCCTTGCCATCAAGGGTAATGCCACTGTTACTACTACTTCTACCTCCACCAAACTTGCACTCCATATACTCAGTCTTGTTTCGACTCAGTCTGAAACCCTTGGTCTCCTATGTTTGTCGTCATACTTCCAACTATGCTTTAATACCAATTGTGTCTCATCAATCAATACAATATCGTCGGCAACATCATGCACCACGGTTTATCTTCTTGAATTGTCTTCGTAAGTTCATTTGACTATAGCAAATAAGAAAGGATTCAAATCTGATCCTTGATGCACTTCGATAGTAATAGGGAACTCTGCAGTCCTCCCTTCACTAGTACGGAAACTTGTAGTACAAACCTTGTGCATATCCATGATGATACTGATATACTTACGTGATATGCCTTTTCTAGTTAAGGCCTACCAAAGGAGTTTTCGAGGTACCCTATCATATGCCTTTTCTAAGTCAATGAACACCAAATGAAGATCCTTTTTTAGTGTCTCTATACTTCTCTACAACTTGTCTACGAAGGTGCGTGGCCTCAGTTATTGAGTATCCACTATCCAGGCATTAAACCAAAGTCATTCTCTCAAACTTTCACACTTTTTCGGAGTCTTTGCTCAACCACTCGCTCCCAAAGTTTCATGGTGTGACTCATAAGTTTAATCCCTCAATAGTTGGCACATTCTTGTACATTAACCTTATTTTTAAATAGGGGAATAAGAGCACTCTTCCGCCAACTCACTGACATTTTGTTGTTTCTCTAAATCATGTTGGAGAAACGTGCTAGCCACTTGATGCCTCTCTCCCAAACGTCTCCGGGCCTCGATCGGTGTGTCATCTAGACCCACACTGTTCGACGACTAAAGGACATAAAAGTTGACGCATTTAACTTTTATACATTATTATTCATAACACACCAATTTAACACAACAGTGCCCAAAAAGACTTCAATGAAAATAATAGTGACATGAAGCTTAAATGTCATGTCAATGCATTTCCTGCATATTTGAATACAACTTCTGTTATAGGTATACCAGTTTTAGAATTGTGCATCGCCTGAATTCGTAATCTGGATTGCTTATGCAACATCCAAAAATGTATATATGTCATGCTAAATAACTCCTCCAACGTAAACTTATTGTTAGAAAAGGCTCAACATGTGAATACCTGGAAACCGTTATAGTAGCTATTTACTGAATAACCAAGACCAGCAATCTCTGCATAGTAGGCTGAAAAATATACAACATAATGAAACAATGAGGACAGAAGGTTAATGAATTCCTACACCTGATACATGTATCTAATTCTCTCCATCAAATTAAATCAGTATTTAATCCATAGAGAAAGCCAAATACGTACAAAAAACATACTTCCTCTGTTCGGTTTTAAGTGCAACATGCACTTGGGCACGGAGTTTAAGAAGCAATGACAAAAGGTTGAACTTGACACTTTTACCCTTCGTTATACGGATATCACAACTGCCCAAATAAGTGCTACAGTTTGTAACAGTGCACAGATGCATTACAGCCAAGAAAGCAAACAATATGTAAGCACCATTGTACTCCTCGATTATGCAGTATACTTGCGAGGTCCACAAAAAATTAGGAAGAAGAGCAGGAGGGTCAGTGCTCAGAAACGATAGGTAAGATGATTTTCGCAGCCTACTTTCCCTTTTAGAAATTGTCCATCGAATTACATGTAACTCTTCAAGCTCTGAAATGGACCGTCGAAGGCAGTTACAAACAATTCCAAGTGGAATCAGATTCCTTGGCCTCTCGTAATTAATTCAAGCATCAACTCACCAAGTCTCAAGCATATTCTCTTAACGGGAGCAGAATCAGTTTCATCTACATCCATATCTTCCATTTTAGCGGCAATTAAAATACAGACCGGAGGAAAAAATCAAAGATGAAGAAGACAGGGAAAGAAATAGAGATATGGCTTAGTAGGTGATGAAAGTCGATGATGTCGGGAAGATAAAAGTAGATTTTGGTGGGGTGGGCAAATGAAGAGATATAGAAATTGAAGACCAAGAGGTTGTACGCAGATGAAATTGGTGGGAGGCGGTGGGTGGAGAAAGTAAAAATAAGTGGAGACAGAAGAGTGTAAATAATTAAGGGTATAAAGGTCAATTTACTTAGTATTTCCTTCCTAAAATAGAAAGGTTGCATTTAATTTGAAACTGCCCAAAAAGGAAAGTGTTGCACTTATTTAAGAACGGAGGAAGTATCATATTAAAACTTGGCTTTTTCTACTTGCCGTATTCATTTAGGTCATCAATCACCAAGCGTAGGAAAATGTTGGTAAGAAGAGATGATTCTGGAGATATTCCACAGTTGGGACATCTAAAGTCCAACACAATATATGCTTTTGGTGTAGAGAATGATGTATCTGGCTTGTACCATAATCTTGAGTAAGCGGATTTTCTCAATAAAAATGGAGCACTCATCTGTGAGCATAAGCAAAAAAATATGCATAATAAGGAGTAACATAAAAAGTGATAATAATGTCATGATATTGTTAGATTATGTATTTTACAGCTAATAGCCTAATACCTTGTTTGGGATACTCTTAAGAGAGAGATTAGTAGGAATGAACAAATTGGGAACAGGGAGATGCAAATCTTCAAGAAGAGCATTTTTCATCCATTGCTGTGAAGTATAAAAATAAAAGTATTGAAGTGAACACTTGCATATATTATAATACTACTTAGAACTTTACAGTGATAGACAATCAAGAGAGCCAGTTATGAACCTCAATAGTGGAACCGGTTAATTTCTCAGAAGAATATGCAGTCCCATACCAAGGCTCAGTGGAGTTTGTATGTCCCTCAAAATTTTGAGATTGCCAAAATATTCTGTTCAAAAGATTTTTCCATGAAAAAATCAGCTCATCTTTGTGGTAACCATAGTAGATTGTAGACAACAAAGTTTTGCAATGACAAAATAGAATAGGTTCGTACGACAGTGTACAAAGTCACTAAAATTTACCTAACATTGTGTGGACTGAGTTCATTGAGTATTGTTTCAATAATTTCTGGGCTGAAATTCGAAAGTAAAGAAGACCCCACCAACCAATCTTTTGGAGGGTAGTCCTATAAAATAGAACAAAAAAATATCAATACAACCTGGATATTGGTAATCAAATTTAAGTGCAAGTTTTATACAGCTAGAATAAAGGAAGCCCATTAGGCCGGTCTTGTAATATAAATCAAAACGTTGGGCTATTAAGTATTAAAATGAAGATTTCAAGCACTCACACTGTATTTTAGATTAAGGCATTATGTTGTTGCATAAAAGGAAGATAACTACACATGATTAACAGTGTAGCTCAAAAATTTACATACCCGCATATTGGACGCAATACAAACCACATAGTCAATGGGCGAAATCTTGTCTTGATAATGAAAATCAGTTTCAGAAATAGCAGAGAGCTTCATGGACACATTAAGAAACGTCAAGAAAGTTTAGCACTATACATACATCGGATGTTCTAAAGTTTCCATTGAAATATGCAACAAAAATGCTTGGTGTACCAGTAGTTGTACACATTTGGAACACCATATATAAACCCAAAAAATTGCCATTTTTTACCCCACACATGCTTGGTGAGTCCCCCCTCTCTCTCCTTTCCTTTTCAGTTTTCTATTTCCTTTTTCCCTCCTCTTCATCACATCTTTTGCCATCTTCCATCTTGCTCACATCATCATCATATTCATTGTCTGGAAAAAACAGCCGGAGATGAAGCTTGTACTTAAACGACGGTCGGGGAAGGACATAAAACTGAGGAGACAGCCGGTGAAGGAGAGACGACATATAAGACAGTTGAGGAAGGCGTTCAAGATCTTTCACACGAACAACTTTTGTCTATAAAGTTAGGCTACAAAAAATGTACGAATACGTACATTTTTAGCTCCTCACAAACATTAGTTTTTGTGCTATCATACATTGACATTTTAGCAAAAAGCACATATGAGCGTCTTAACCAATGTGAGTGGTGCGCAAATCAATGTCTATGCACATATATTAGTTGTTCGAGCGAGCAACTTACAAGCTTTTCAGCTTGATTTCTTCATTAAAAAAATCGTCTATGACCAAATTAATTTTTAAGATGACATACACAATATTTAAAATGACATGACATAGACAATATTTAACACACTCAAACCATTTTTAACCCAACATACAATATTTCAAGGCAATAGTTCACACGGTTGTCCATCTCCAGTTGTGTTTCCGGTGTTGGTCCATCTCTGATTGTATTTTCCGGCTACTGTCCATCTCCAATTGTGTTTTCGGACGATTGTCCATCTCTGGTTGTGTTTTCCGGTGGCTGTCGATCTCCCGCTGTGTTTCCTTAAATTAAACTGTAGCCACGGTGATGAAGTTGGATGAAGAAGAGAGAGTGAGACTGTGAGAGTTTTTGGGGAAGTGGATGAGGAGAGTGAGTGGTGAAGTTGGATGAAGAAGAGGGAGAGTGATGAGTTTGAGGAAGAAACCCACGTGAATCACAGAGTGAAGAAGGGAGAGGGTAAAAAAAATTGAGGTATTTATTTGGTGTACAAAAATGTGTGAACCAAATGTGTAAAGAATCATTTTTCAATATGCAATCCTTTATGAAGTAAGAAACTAAAACCATCACGATGACACATCAAAACTTTAGTTAAGCTTAACTTTAACCATACTCACACCAAAGATATTAAAGCGCTTTGCTTTTATGGTATAACAGGTTGAAAATGCAAAACGATCAAAATTTGGTTGTGCTTGTTTAAAACTTTAAATGTGTTCCTTCCCATCAATAAGAAGTTGTTCAGAAGGAAGAAGCTTGTTAATGAGTCCACCAAATAAAAATGGCTATTTGGTGTGCATAATGCTATGAGTTGCAATTGGTATGATTAATTGTCCGTGAAATTCAGTAATGAGTTTAAAAAATACAGATATATTGTGTACCTCCTCGAATATCCATTTGCAGACACCATTTTCTTGAAGGAGGTGAATATATTTGAAAAGCAGTCCTACAATTTCCTCAAAATGGTCTGCAACTCATAGAGAATGGTAGATGGTCTAAGAAGGTTAAAGCCTTCACATGCAATATGGTGATATACTTATCTTACAGCTTAAAAGATACAACTGCTATTTTTGTTCATCTTTAATTTGTTACATCCAATAGGAATAAAATTATCATATATTCACAAATCTAATCCATCATGAAAGGGAGACCATAGAATTAATGAAAATTCCTCTAAAGCAGTCTTAACAATCTTTTTGTCCAAGACTTGTAAAGATGAAAGGACACTAACCATGACCAGCATCAGTCAGTTCAATATATACTTCAAAAAAAGAGAAGAACCGGCATCTTCCTGATTCAGAAGCCCATAAGCTAGTAGCCCAACCTGCAAGAATTGCACTTGAAAAGCACATATAAGATATGAAGCCAATATAATCCCGAAAAGCATCTGATGATGATTGTTGGGATCATAACACAAAGAAAAGCAAGGGGGGGGGGGGGGAAGAAATATTATAGCTGAGCAGAAACTAAGTGGAGTTTGTATACAATATCTATCTCTATTTCTAAGTAAAGTTGTTTACTATAGACATCTATGTCACGGATGGCTACATGTCACTGCAAACTTGGTTTTTAAATAGATATGTAATAACTAATAAGCATGATACATTTCACAATCATAAAATAACTGTGTATACGATAAAGGTTAAAATTAGGGCCAATCATATATGCATTGGCAAAGAGTGGCATACATTTAGTCTAACTACGCTTGGCCATTATATACATGGCTATATGTAAGAGGTGAGTGTATTCAATGTTCTAAACTTCTAATTGAATGCAGATATCAATAAGACTCTGGGAATTCATGATTTTTGGAATTCATGCCAGATACAATTAAACACTGTAAGAGTAGTTTGCTCGGTATAACTAAGAAAAGATTAGGACGGACAAGGTAGGCATCCTACATTTATAAGTTTGTTAATTGTTACACATAAATAATCTTATGGATCTACAATAAAATATAGCCTTTGTATGGTTAAGGTAAAATAAGAGAGAGAAAATAGAAATTAAACAAACAGGAGAGGAATGAAGATTTTTTGTTGTTTGGTGAACGGAGAAATGGGGAGGAGAGAATTGAAATGGTGGTTCCACCTCCTTCTTTACTTCTTCTTTCTTATGGATGGAAATGAGTCTTCGCCCAATTTCTTCTCTATTTCTCTTCTACCAAACCACACAAAATCCAACCCCGTTTCTCTCTCCTCTTTTTCTTCCATAAACCAAACAAAGTCAAAGATAAAAAGAGGGGAAAACATGTGTTATGCATATGGACTTTGTCACTTTTAAAAGCTGTAGCTGAGAACCCACCTAACTTCTTCAAACTGTAAAACAAAGAACCTTCTCCTTCATGGCCAATCAAGTGACTTATATAGCTGATAGGTCCTTCCTTGTAGTGAAAGAGCTCAGGGGTGACTGGCCATTTGATGCTCAACTTGTGACCTTGCTTTATAGGGACTGCTTTGACGAGAATCTGAGTTGTACAAAAAAAAGTTAGGAGATGTTTCAAAAACTAATGTTACCTCATTTGACAACAAACAGATCTTAAGCAAACACTACAGACATTTTAGGGAATGCTGCAATGAATAAAGTCCCAAATGCAGAAAATTTTTAAAAATTCAAGAGAAGATAATGTCAGCTATAACTTCTAAGCACAGAAGTATTCATTTAAGAAAAGGTTGTCATCATCATCATCATTACCCAGTGCCGCAAAGGCTCCTAGCTTTGGTGGGGTAAGGGGGTCGGATCTACGCAGTCTTACCCATGTACTAAAGAAGAAAAAGAGACTATTTCCTGATGACCCGTAGTGAAAATCGCATTGAAAATTGCATGGACTGACTGCTGCTTCATAACAAAGAAACACAGACAATTTAGTGAGCCATTTTGCTTTATCCCATCATATTCCCAAGCTAAAAAATAATGAGTCTTTGGCTCCATTGCAAATGAAGGAAATAAGAAAAGGTTGTACGGAACAACATTATGGATTTGGTTAAAGTCACTAATCCTGTTCAGTGTTCACAAGTGGCTTTGATGTTCAAGTTTTCATCCAAAACACATAAGAGCCAGGAAAAATTAAATAAAGAATAATAAACATGGCACACAAAATAATTCTCAATTCTTCTTAGAAATTAAGTACCTGTAGATGCTCTGATGTGCAAGGCTGACCACAATCAATAGCACAACTTCTACTAGTATTTTGGATTTTATGGAACACATTCTGTACTAGGCTTTGGGTTTTATCAAGGCTATCTAGCATATCCCCCCATGAAAGAAGAAGGATCAGTATCGGCAAAGTTTAGGTTGTACAGACTAAAACATATGCAAACATGTGACAGTTACCTTTTGCATAAACAACCAGATGCATCACGTTGGATGAATAATTCTCCTCATAGAATTTGAGAAGCTCCTGCCTTATATCTAACCCTCTTTCCTTCGGACGTACTTCCAAAGTATCCCAGCTCCCTATCAAGAATTAAATGATGGTAGAAATTAGAAAAATTGAAATGATAGAATTGATACATATTGAGTATCCCATTTCAGATGTATAATGGGTTCAGTCTGATCCAATGGTGGTTTGTTGGGCGTCTATAAACTTGATGGATTGGGGCAGCCTGCTTGCGGGTATACAAGCGTGAGGATAAACTGACCTCCAGAACATCTTTTTGTGGTGACTTAATGATGCATTCTACATTATAAGATTATAAAAACAGGGCAGCGTGGTGCACGAAGGCATCCCCACAACATGAGGGTTTGGGGACAGGTCCCACCACATGGGTGTATGAGGAGCAAGTCTTTCCCTGTGAATTTTTTAAAAAGAGGCCACTCCCAGGACTTGAGCCGGTGACCTCTCGGTCGCACAGTAACACCTTAAATGGTGCGGCAAGGCTCCCCCACATTATAAGATTATAGATAGAATAAAAAATTAATCAAGTATAGGATTGAGGAGAGAGATATGGCTGAATGATTTGCTCAAATATGATTGATTTATTTTATTTTTATTTGATTTTGATACCTTCATTAGATTTTCTATATTAGAAAGTGATTTGCTATGATTTCTTTCTTTCCTTATTTTTTATAAGGGAAAGTTCCCGAAATAGGACCAAAACAGTTTGAAAATTCTAAAATAGGACCGTCGTGTTTTTTATTCCCAAAATAGGAGTAATTACTGCCAAGTTTGGAAAATACTGCCATGCTTGAAGTCTGGTACTGCCAAAACATGACAGTAATTAGTCCTATTTTGGGAATAAAAACATGGCAGTCCTATTTTGGAATTATCAACCTTTTTTGTCCTATTTCGGGTAATATCTCTTTTTATAATTATATGCATAAACCCAACATAGCCAATATGTCTCACTAATTAAGACTTCGATTACACCCTAAAAGATCAACCTTATAGGAGTTCAAAGCTTTGTATGGTGGTTTGTATCTGTATATGTGACCAATGTAGGATGAACTTGATAAGAGGGCGAGCTCATAGCCTTGTATCTTTGTATGATGGTTTGTATCATTATGTGTGGCCAGTGTGGGATGACTTAACATGACCCGCATGATCATGACTCATTAGAGCAAACCAATCTTGTAGTTTGTGTGCTCATTGAATAGTCTTAGCCAGATTGATCGCACGTTTGAGCGTAATTAACTCATATCACATTAAGACTTGGGTTTCATCCTGATATGAAGAGTAGCCGTTTGTATATTTATACATGGCCGTTGTGGAATTTCCTTAACACCACTCATAAGTAGGGTCCTACTGTCCTAGGAGGGTGAGATGCATGCAAAACTTACCTCTACCTATAGCTATTTTTGTGCATGTAAATCCCTATTAAAAAGAGATTGTAGGTTTCTATTTTAATAAGAGAAAAGGAAAACTACCCAAATTCAAAAGGAGAATATCAATTACATTGTGCCAATGAGGTGAAGAATCCCCGTACATAAAAATTAGAGTTGGTTTAAAATCGGACATCTGTTAAGAAATTTAAATAAATATAAAATCTTAAAAAAGTTCTAATAAAATCCCAACTTGGCAATTTTTCTATGGTACAACCGGTACATTAAAAAACACCCCCTTGGCTTTTTTTCTTTCTCTGCCATATTCTGAGTTCCAAAAATAACCTTATAGGATGAGTAAAGGTGTGGCTAATTCTGGTGGCTTATTAAAAAAACTACTTGCTCCATACCTCAATTAAGTTCTCACTTTCCTTTTCTGGATGTCCTAAAATAAAGTTCTCAATTCATTGTATTTCTTTTTTAGTAAAAGTTTGGTAAAAAAACTACTTGCTCCATACCTCAATTAAGTCTTTTTTAGTTCTCACGAAATTTGGTAACCCAGTTCGCCACAGAGGACTACGTCTAGGGGCGCTATCAAGCCAGGAATGTTATTAATATTTTTTTGGATGCAGATTACAAGAGAGGAGAGTGGTATTTATAGAGATGCAGTGTCTTGTTCCCAAAGCAACATAACCCCTAATTAAATTAGGATGTGTTTCCAAAAATAAATTAAGAAACGTGTTTCCAAGAATAAATTAAGAAACTGTCTCTAACACCTTACAATCTCCCACCTTGAGACTGTCTTCTTCAAATCCTCCCTTGTTAGCATGGTAGCGCCGGCCTTCAACTTCAAGTACCAAGGCCAATTGAAGCTATACAAAGCTTCAACTTCTCCAAGGTTACCACCTTAGTAAACATGTCTGCTGGATTCTCACTCTCGCGGATCTTCACAAGCTGCAATGCCTCTATCTCTAGAAGATGACGGATGTAGTGATACTTCAACCGAATGTGTTTGGTTCTCTTGTGAAAAGCTGAGTTGTTTGCTAAGAAGATAGCACTTTGACTGTCACTATAAAGAATGCTATTCTTGTACTCCTTCCCAAGTTCCCCAAGTAAATTCTGAAGCCACATCATCTCCTTACTTGCCTCCGTAATGGCCACATATTCTGCCTCTGTAATAGATAATGCAATAATCTTCTGCAGCTGCGAAAGCCAAGATACTGCTGTCCCACCAAATGTAAAAACATACCCTGTGGGGCTTCTTGATCCATCCGAGTCATTTGATGCCAAATCTGCATCAACATGTCCCAGCAGCACTACATTCTTTCCATCAAAACACAAAGCATTAGAAGCAGTACCTTTCAAATACCTCATGATCCACTTCACAGCTTCCCAGTGTTCTTTCCCGGGGTCTCCCATGTATCTGCTCACTACTCCCACCGCATGTGCAATGTCTGGCCTCGTGCAAACCATAGCGTACATGATGCTACCAATTGCCGATGCGTATGGAATCTTCTGCATTTGAGCACGGTCCTCCTTGTTCTTTGGAGAATCTTCCTTGTTAAGCTTGAAGTGACTACCCAATCGAACACTTGCAGCCTCAGCATCTTGCATTCTGAATCTTTCCAAGACCTTCTGAATGTATTCTGCCTGTGAAAGAAACAATTTGTCCGCTGCCTCATCCCTCTCGATTCGCATGCCCAAAATCTACTTTGCCTCTCCAAGATCCTTCATGGAAAAACGTTCTGACAACTGTTTCTTTAGCTTCTCAATCTCCTTTGAACTAGCTCCTGCAATCAACATGTCATCTACATATAATAGCAAGATAAGATAACAGTTCTCAGTCTTCTTGTAGTAGCAGCAATTGTCGGTGTGACATCTCAAGAAACTGATTTCCCGCATGAAACCATCAAATTTCTTGTACCACTGCTTCGGTGCCTGTTTCAACCCGTATAAGCTCTTCACTAGCTTGCATACGAGATTCTCACTGCCCTCTGCCACATGGCCCTCTGCTTGCACCATGTAAATCTCGTCATTCAGATCACCATGAAGGAATGCAGTCTTCACATCCATCTGATGTAACAACAAATTTTCTGCAGCGACTAACCCCAACACCAACCGAATAGTAGTTAGTTTCACAACTGGAGAGAATATGTCGGTATAATCAATACCATAGCGCTGCTCAAACTCCTTCATAATCATCCTAGCTTTGTAGCGTTTGCTACCATCTGCCTCCTTCTTGATGCGGTAGACCCACTTGCAGTGCAAAGCCTTCTTTCCTCTCGGTAGTTCAACTAACCTCCAAGTATCATTGGATGTGAGAGATGCCATCTCATCATCCATTGCAAGTTTCCACTTGCCCTTGTCATCAACCCGAACTGCCTCTGCATAGGACTCCTATTCACCACCGTCAGTAACCAACAAATAGAAATTATAAGGTGAATACCTATTTGGTGCTCTTCGGTTCCTAACAGGCCGCTGCCTTGGCGGAGTTGATGGATCCTCATCACTGCTCGTCTCTTCATTCTGATCTTGCTTGCTCCCACCCGAACTAAAGATATCCAGCTCTATGATCTTCGGACTTTCTTGCTCAGAATCAAATGCGCTCAATCTGTCCTTGTACAGAACCTGCACATTGAACACCACATCTCGACTACGAATAATCTTCCTATTCTGCTCATCCCAGAATCTGTTTCCATAGTCATCACCACCATATCCAACGAACGTACACTTCACAGATTTTGCGTCTAACTTGCTTCGGTCAACGGAACTGATATGAACATAAGCAACACAACCAAATATGCGGAGATAGGACAGATTTACCTCTTTACCAGTCCACCTTTCTTCAGGAATGCCATTCTCCAACAAGATCGTTGGACTTCTGTTGATGAGAAAAGCCGCGGTGTTCACTGCATCCGCCCAAAACATCTTCGGTAAGCCACTCTTCAACCTCATGCATCTAGCCCGCTCATTCAGTGTTCTGTTCATGCGTTCAACAACGCCATTATGCTGCGGAGTCCCCTTAGTTGTCTTCTCCATACGAACCTCATTCTCAGCACAAAAATTCTTGAACTCATGCAGTTCATACTCACCCCCATTATCTGACCGAAGGCACTTCAACTTCAGACCTGACTCTGTCTCAACACGAGATTTCTACCTCCTGAAAGCATCAAAGGCATCGGATTTATTTTTGAGAAAATAAACCCACACCTTTCTTGTGGCATCATCAATAAAGGTCATGTAGTAGACGGATCCTCCCAAGGATGTAACTTCTGCAGGTCCCCAAAGGTCGGTGTGAACTTGTTCCAACTTCTCCGGTTTGATAGCTCGTCTTCCCTTTGAGAAACTAACACGTTTCTGTTTTTCGGATATGCAGTCCTCGCATAAGCCAACCTCAACAGTCTTCAGGCCGGACAGTTTGCCCTTCGAGCACAGCTCCTTCATCCCCTTTTCGCTCATGTGACCGAGCCGACAGTGCCACAAATTCACATCGTTTGTTGCAGCGGCAACAACATCGATGCAGTCCTTTGAGTTCGTTGTCATGTACAACGTACCCTCCTTCTTCCCCTTAGCAACCAGCAAGGCTCCCTTGGTGATCTTCCAATTTCTGCTGCCGCATGTAACTGCATAACCTTCCTCATCCAGCTGCCCAATTGAAAGAAGATTCCTCCTCAAACCAGGAATGTGTCGGACACCATTTAGTTTCAGCATGCATCCGTTCGGAGTCTTCAAGTGGACTGTCCCCTTCCCGACAATTTTAAGAGGCTCATCATCAGCAAGATACACCTCTCCAAAATTGCCGGGGGTATACTGTTCCATCACTTCAGAGTTACCACATGAATGGAACGAGGCTCCAGAATCCAGAACTCATGACTCCAACGGACTGCTCACGCTCAGAATCAGGAGATCATCACCCGATGATTCTGCCGCTGCATTGGCAGATGTCTTCTCCTTTTGATCCTTGATCTGCTCCTTGCACTGGCTCTTGAAGTGTCCGTACTCCCATGGTTTTAAAAGGCGTTTAGCCTTTACGCACTTGAGGCGCAAAGGCGCAAAGGCGGTCGGTAATAGCCTGGAAGGCTTAAGCTTCACCTTCTGCTAACAAGGCTTACGCCTTAAATTTGCTGAGGCGTTGATGCGGACTGTGGGCGCAAGGCGTACACGAGGCGTTCGCCTCTAATTTTACGCAAGGTTGGGCTTTTTTTTAAAAAGTATATCGGGGGCCTCAAATTTTCTCTCCTAAAATATAAAATACCTGGATATTTTATTGCTTACCCACAGCCTTAGGTCTTCCAAATTCCAATCGATGGTCTTTCACTCTTCTACGAGACTAGATATTAAAAAACTAGAAACAACGACTTGAAGAAGAGCTGCTGAAGCTCGGTACAGAGACTTCAGGAGTTGCTTCGCCGGTTCGTCCAAGCAATAATAAAATATCCCACCGCCCAACTTCTATAATTTCTTATAGTGTTTATTATTTAACTTTTTTATTTAACTTTTTAGTTATTTAAAGGTTTTATTTTGAGCTATTTAAAGTTATTAAATAGTATTAAATTTCGTCCAACCTTTCTGATCTTTATGCGTTTGTCATTTAACGTTACTAATGTAATTATTAAGCCTTTTGTTTAATCTGTAAAGTTATCATATAAAACTATCATTTAACTTAATAATTTATTTATTTGTTTAATACTGCGCACTTTACTAGTTTACTTGACTTAAGATTTACATTTTAATTTGAAATATTATAGTTAAGTTCATTACAGTTTGGTTTTATTTTTATTTATTTATTAAATTTGATTATCAATCATTAATTTTTTTTGTCTTGGAAGTTTAGTGTTTTTTATATTTCATTTTTATGCTATTTTGACTTGAATATTTTATTGTTATGTTCTTTTTACTCGTAATTTTGTTTAGTTGCATTATTCTTATGGATTATCTATACTATCTGATATGTTGTACGCTTTTAGACAATTAAATTTGAGGCTTACGCCTCGTTACGCCTCGAGGCTTACGCCTCGTGAGGCTATTGCCGAACGCCTCGGGGCTCGATTTCGCCTTTCAAAACCTTGCGTACTCCTCACAATTCCAGCACTTGATCTGACTTCTGTCCTTCTTGCCCTTGCTGTTTGACTTGGATTTGGATCTTGATCTATCCCGATTTGACTTTGACTTTGACTTCGTTCTGCCCCGGTTCTCTGTACTCAACGCCGATCCAGAAGCCAAACATGATTCCTTCCTGCGAATTTCTTCGCTGACCACCAGATTTCTGACTTCATCGAATTTCAGTTTCTCCTTCCCTGCCGAAGCGCTGACTGCAGTCACCGTTCCGTTCCAGCTTTCCGGGAGAGAAGACAGCAGAATTAGGGCATGAATTTCGTCGTCGAACTTGATCTCAACCGCGCTCAATTGTGTGGTGATTAAATTGAACTCGTTGAGATGCTCCACAACTCCCGTGGTTTCTGACATCTTAAGGTTAAAAAACGCCTCATGAGATGTACCTTGTTCGCAGTAGGGCTGTTAACGAGCCGAACCGAGCCCGAACACCCAAAGCTCGAATTCGGCTCGTTAAGGAATAAGGGATGTTCGGGTTCGAGCTCGAAGCTCGGCGAGCTTTACAAATGAGGCTCATGTTCGGCTCGATAGGCGTTCGATGTTCGAACCGGGCGCTCGATAAGCTCGATAAATATGCCCGAATTTAAAATTTTAGATGATGCTCGTTAATAGGCTCGTGCTCGAATGGTTCGACAAGTATTCGGTTCATTAATAATCATATTTAAATTCATAAAATCATACTAATTATATTTAAATTTTGACATATATAAAAATTATATTTAAAATTTTAGGGTGTTCGATAGGCTCGAGTTCGAACCGAGCCGAAAACTACTATGTTTGAGCTCGGCTCGATTAATTTTTCGAACTTAAAACTCAGCCCGAGTTCGAGTTCGAAGCTCATTAAGCTCGGCTCGTTAGGTTCGAAATCGAGCTCGAGCTCGAATAGTTCGATAAAAGCTCGATTCGTTAACAGCCCTAGTTCGCAACAGAAGGTTTCTCATACATATCCGTTAATATTTGCAACATCTCGTTCGTCGTTTTTGCTTTGACGGTATGTAGGGCGATGTTTCTGGACAGCGACAATCGCACCACGCTCATCGCTTTCCTGTCCAGCAACTTCCAATCGCTCTCCTTCATGTCTTCCGGCTTATCCTCCAGAGGTTGATACAAATCTTTACCGTACAGGTAATCTTCGATCTGCAGCTTCCAGAAGCCGAAATCAGTCCCATCAAACTGCATCAACGGTGTCTTCAAATCTGCCATCGTGTTGAACTCTCCCTTCGAACCTAGGGCTCTGATACCAGTTGTTAGGAATTTAACTCACAAACACGAATAACAATTAAAGAACACACGAAATTTGGTAACCCGGTTCGCCACAGAGGACTACGTCTAGGGGCGCTACCAAGCCAGGAATGTTATTAATATTTTTTTGGATGCAGATTACAAGAGAGGAGAGTGGTATTTATAGAGATGCAGTGTCTTGTTCCCAAAGCAACATAACCCCTAATTAAATTAGGATGTGTTTCCAAAAATAAATTAAGAAACGTGTTTCCAAGAATAAATTAAGAAACTGTCTCTAACACCTTACAGTATCTGTCACTTAACAGTTAACAGTCAACAATTACAATGAGATATTAGAAATCTTGAACCATGCAATAAGCCCAATTAAAATACCTGATAGATTCTGTGACCATCTGATAGTAAGTTGTTTTGATTTTCTGTATAAACAAGTTTGTTTCCACAAGGAAAAACAGAGACATGAAATAATCAGCACACATCAAACATAACTAGATTGCTATGCATAGAAAATGATAATATGCTAACCTGAATCAACAGCTTTTATCTCTCTTGTTGTAGCATCAGCTGACATCAATGGGTTGATGAAAAACTGAGCAAATCTAGAAAATCAAATACCCAAAGTAATAAGGAAACTTTGCCCAAAAATAGACATAAAGAAATAGTGAAAAGAAGGAATATCCTTAAAATCATATTACCTATCTAAAGCTTCTTCAAAACCGTCACTGTTAACATCAAAGTAAAAGTTGGTGTGCTCAGAAGATGTAAAAGCATTTGTCGACCCTCCATGCTACAACACATGGTATGAACAAACACGTTAAAGAGAGCAAAGAGAACAACTCTCTGCAAACATCATGTGGAAGTATGTTATGTAATTGTATTACAGATTTACAATGGATTGCAAGCCACTCCACATGGCTGGTAAAGCAGCCTGTAGCCGTATAGCAATAAAGCATGCTTTTTGCTTTGGATTGTATACGAGTTACTAGGTAGTGCATTGGTGCACCCTTGATTGTGCTGATGAGTTACTTGTCCACAAATTTAATCAAGGGAAATGGTGCAAATACACCTTATTGGAACCTAACGTTTTTTTATGCAAAAATACCCCTAGTATTTCAATCAACAGTTACATTAACCCCTGTTTTCCTTGATTGCTAAAACAAGCATTTTAAAATCTGCATAATATAATTAGAAATAATGATGGAAACAATGCTACTAGAGTTTCAACGGACAAAAAGATTAAGAACTTCTGTTTCAGGCAACGATATACCATGTTAAGAATGAAAGGTCACAAATATCCTTCATATAAATACACAAATCAACCCTAATCTTCCCTAACTTCTGTTAGGAATTAAACTCACGCACGCGATGAATAATAAGAAGAACACACAAAAATTTGGTAACTCAGTTCACCACGAATGACTACGCCAGGAATATTATTGCTATTTTCGGACCCCAGGGATTACAAAGGGAGAGAGCTTGTATTTATAGAGAGTAAAACCTACCCCTAGGGCAACTAGGAGGCTTGGCCAAAAATAAAGAAAAATAATCCGTACGGCCCAACTGTACGGAATCCGTACGGCCCATCTGTACGGAATCCGTACGGCCCATCTGTACGGAATTGTACAGAAAACTTGTTCGTCAAAAACGGACCAAAAATTTCGGATCGGCGGATAGGGCTTGGTTATACAGTCTCTAACACCTTACAACTTCCTCCCTCCATCGTTACCACTTACCCATCCTATCAGCCCACACCCATCGCCCAACCTTTTCTCCAGCTGTTGCTCATCTTCTCCTCCATCGTCTCAGTCATACCACCCATCTTCTCCTCCATCTCAGCTAGGCATCCCGTTGCCTGCCCATCTTCTCCTCCATCTCCTCCATTGTTTTCCATCCACCCAGCCACACTGCTCACCCATTTCTCCTCCAGTTGGCCTCCCATCCTCTGCTCCAGCAAAGACTTGGGGTCCCCTAAAGGCGGCAGACGCTCAAATGGAGAATGTGGCTCCAGTGACAGCATTTATAGCGACTACAATGCGGCTCTATCATCAATGACGGCAGTGGGCCACAACAATGTGGGCGATGCCTAGGGATTCTTTACCTTCGTGTTCTTATCTTCCAAATGTAATCGACCATAGCAGTGAAGGTGATGTTGCTTGACGTTGTCAACACTGTGATACAATGAAGACAAATCCAAATCGACAACGTCTATAATAACAGTATTAAAGATTCAATCATGGCGGTGCAAGATGAATCTGGGTCAAGAATCAGGATCAGTAATTCCAGAACGCTGTTTGGGGATTCAAACTCTGGTAGCTAAGGTTTTGGTAAGCTTGAGTGTGGTGGTGGTGGTGGTGATATCACGGTTAAGTTTGACCGGTGCGACTGTCAGGGCAATGGTGGGTTGGGTGAGGGGTAGTGGTGTGGCTCGGATCAACTAAGCTCAACAATAGTGACACCACCAGGCAGTGTTCATGTCAGTGATGGTGATACCATCAGGCAGTGTGTGGAAGCGGTGTTGCCGGGTGGAGGCAGTGGTGGGAGGAGGCATGTCACTAAGAGTGAGGGTGTGGGCGACAATAGTGACAAGCTAGATGGTGACGTTGGTGACAAAGTGGTTGTGTCACTGACACACTGGCAGTGGTATCACAAGCGGGGGTGTCAACAATGGTTATGCTACTAACAATGGTGTTACTGGTGGTGGTGTCATGGGGACTAGGGTCACTGCTTCTGTAACTAACACTAGAGCAGGACGGGAACTTTAATAATAATAAATATAATTTTAGTTTAAAGGGTATAAATGGCGCAATTAGTCACTTTAAAAAAATAAGTCAGTCCAATTTCATCTTAACCTCTTCCTTTAGTATTATTCGAATAAAAAGAAAATATGATTATTTAATATTAAGGGTAAAAATGACAACAAAAAATAGTTTTTCTCTTTAAAAGATATAACCTATATATTAAATACCTGGATTTCCTACATCTAAATTTTTTGTTCAATGTGCCTAAAAATGTATACCAATATTTCCAAAAACAGCATTATCATTCTGTACACTTAATAGATTAAATTAACCATTTTTATAAGGAGGAATTCCCCAAATAGGACTAAATGAAACTTTAATTGCAAGAATAGGAGTATAACTTTAAAATTCCCAAAATACGATTAACTTTACCATCCTACCCTTACTTTGTAATAATACAATTCATATTTCATTAATAATTAAAACATAAATCTAATAAAAATAACTTTATTTATAATAAAAATGTAAAAAAAACATGAAAATAAATATTAAATAAAATTAACAAAAAATAATTAGAAAAATAAAAATATAAAACTAAAAAACTTAAATTTTTAAAATAATAAAAAAGGTAAAAAAAATAAAAAAGGAAGGCCTCTCTTGCCGTCTCAACAATCTCCCAACACTACCAGCTCTGACCACTGGAAGAAAATGCCAACATGTGTCGGTAATGCCATCTTGATGGCAGTTTTAGAGAAAAAATTGGTATTTTCAAAGAGTAAAAAATGTTATCTTAATGGCATTTCCAGAGAAAAATGGCAGTTTTTACACAAAATGGCATTTTATTTACTGATCAAAGGTGGCATTGCTGGGAGGTGGCAGAGGTTGCTGGAAAGGCCTCCACAATTTTTTAAGATTTTTTATGTGTTTTATCTATTTTTATTTATTTCTAAAGTTTTATTTTTAAGTTTTTATTATTATTATTTTGCTTTCTAAAAATATGTGTGAATTTTTTCTAAATTTTACGATTTTATTATAAATTAATTTTTTTTTATTTTTATTACAAATTAAAATATGATTTTCCTATAAAATTATGGTAAGGGTAAAACAGGAAGATAGAGTATACTTTAGTCCCATTTTAGGAAGATAATCAATGACCCATATTTTTTCCCTCAGTTTCTACAAAATGTTAGAAGGTGGTGGGGAAAACTAGCCCAAGTATATACGTAGTAATTTTTTAAGAATTTTTTTAATAACCAACATATATAATAATGAAATTACGGGATAAAGAGGGTGGGGGGCAAAGCCCCCTCCATACAACACATAGCTCCACCCCTGAACACAATAACCTTATTCGTCATTTGCATCTACATTTTATGGTAACTATTTTTAAATTTTTTAAAAGAAATCAGCATTTAAGGCCAACAATGGCCAATATGCACCCTAAGTGTAACATTCTGGTATACTTGCATCTGGAAAAAACATTAGGCAGTAATATATATCTAGACTGTAGAGGTAAACATTACAAGTGCATTTGCACCTTTTCCCGTAACTTAAGCTTCAATTGTTGTTCGTCATGGTATTAGAGTCATCTATGTTTTAAAAAGAGTAGCAGAATAGTGACAATGACCCATATTTTTTTCCCTCAGTTTCTATGGTGAGCACTAAATTATGTAGAGAAACACCTCAGTCCAAATTTCATGTTTGAAGTTACAAGCCGAGGGTAAACTTCACTGGTTCAACTTTCATGTTTGAAGTTACAAACCGAGGGTAAACTGTTACGGACCTAGCTCATACTAGGCCCATAGCAGTGCCATAAGCCCAGGTGTAGAACTCACTCCTAAAAGACCAGCCGATTAGGAGGAGGGAACACCTTGCTTATAAGCCACCGGTCAAGCCCATACTTGACCGGTGTGGGATCGTAACAATACCCCACGCTTCGAAGAGCCAACGTCCTCGTTGGTCAGGCTATGTTGGTCACGGTTGGCACCCCCCAGGGCCCAAGCCACCACTCCATAGGCCACCACTCTGAGTGTCGGGACTAGGAAGATGGGGACGGCTGACGGCTCTGATACCAATTGTTACGGACCTAGCCCATACTAGGCCCATAGCTGTGCCATAAGCCCAAGTGTAGAACTTCACAGATTCCTAAAAGACCAGCCGATTAGGAGGAGGGAACACCTTGTTTATAAGCCACCGGCCAAGCCCATACTTGACCAGTGTGGGATCGTAACATAAACTTCACAGATTCAAGTCAAGTATAGAAATTCAAGTTTGATCGAGTATAAGCCAAGGGGGGGAATTCAAGGAAAGATTGCAGTTCATCTCAAAGTTTGAATTCAAGTTCAACTCCATATCCAGTCAGTTCGAGCCAAGTTACAAATTCAAGTTCTTTCAAGTTAAAATTCAGTTTATATTCAAGACAAGTTCAATCTCAAAGTGCAGAGATCAAGTGTCAAGTATATATTCAAATCCATTTCAAGTTTTGAATTTCAAGATTTAAGTTTGTTGAGTTTTGATGATTGTTAGGTCTGTCAAGTGACGAATAACCACCACTACCTGCCTGTTAGGCAGTAGCAAAGTTTAGAAAGAAACTATGGAAATGCAGTACTACATTGCGCATGAGTGGCATGACTTAAGATCTAGTTTAGGTTGACCGTTGACATGATTGGTGTGACAGGCTGACAGCTTAACACTGTATGGAGCATTGATACTCCATCTTGAAGGAAAGTATATTAGTACAATTTGGGCTTATATTCTATGGGGTTTTCAAGTCATCCTAGATCAATCACATGAATGCAGAATGCCAGAACAGCCTTATAGGTATATAGAAAATGTGTTTGCCTCAGGTTTACTTATATATATAATGCTCCTCAAGACTTTAGTGGATCAACTCTACTTTATAAGTTGATTACTACATGTGCGTCTGTTTGTGTGTGATGAAATGAGAAGAACCCTTAATTTAAGATGTGCATTAGATTTGAGTTCTAATGGCATTATATGTGTCAGCAATGATATAGCAGATGAAAAACACAGTGGTAATTTCTTAATAATGTGAACTTTCTTTGCCACCGCGAAAAAAGTGCAATATATGATGATAAAAGAGCAACATTACAACATATTGAGAAATAAATGTGAATATTCTCCGTTTCTCATGTTTGGCACTTTTCACCGGATGTGTGTGCATGTGTGTGTGCATATGTGGTGTGTGTGTGTGTGTGTGTGGGTATACACATATAGAGAGAGAGAGAGAGCAGGAGTTTATATCTAACGCATAAGTAGAAGGCCTGATGCAGGCCAGAAAAGAAAAATAGAAAGTGATCAGTTAAGAAAAAAATGGAGTATTAGTTAAGGAAAATGAAAAAGAAAACGATTAGTTATAGAGAGCATATATGCGCTAAAAACGATGAACATAAAATGAAACAACTTTTATGAGTCAAATACTAAAAAGAATAATCAATCGTGATCAAAAGGTGAATGCAAATACCTCCGAGATGTAGTTTGAGTAACTATTTTCCAAGGGATACTTCTCGCTTGCAAAAAACAGCATATGTTCTGCAAGCATGTGTATGTCCATTTTCATTATTTAGAACGTGAAAGACAAAAGGAGTGGGCATCGTATCAGTTTGGTTCATATCCCAATATTAATTCAAACATCTAAAAGTTTTGTGATATTTGACATCTGAACTGGATAGTCATTCAGACATAATTTGGGTGAAAATATTTTGGTATTTTTTGTTTTGTTTAGATCTACCGAAAATTTTAAAAAGTCATTGGTTTTTAAAACCAAACAGTTTTTTTATTTTACATGATATAATCAATCAAAAGAACACGAATAAAATATACTCCGTATTTACATACGGAGTATTAAGTACTCCAATTATTTATTGAATATTTATTTAAATCGGCTCTGGGGTTGGATATATGTGAACTTTTCGCCCTGAGAAAGATTTGCCATTTTCTTCATTCTTCAAAAAAACTTATATGCAATTGACATATTGATCGTCAAAGGACCACACATACTGATAACAGGAAGTTTCTTAGTCAACTAGGAAGTTAAGAAAATGAAGGAATGCTCACCAAGAAAATGGGCAAGGCCTTCCAGACCCTTGGGATCACTAAAAGAGCCTACAGAGACATCCATTGAAGCAGCACACTAATTGAGATCAAAGAAAAAACAATTAATTACTCCAACACTTCATACTCCTACTAATTAAACAGAATAATGAAGAATAAAATAATTTTCCAGAATGTATAAAGATTGGAGCTTTCAGAACTACATCATAAAGAATGTATAATTTCCCACAGCTCAATTTGTTGCAGATAAGAATCTGTAACTTAGAAGAAATCGCAGGTTGAGAAAACAGTTGAGATGAACCTTATCAGTTTCAGGATCGCTAATGAGAAGAACTTGAAGAGAGTTATCAAGAACGACTCTTCTGTAATCCCTCTTGTCACAGCGAGCTTTCACTATCTCAATCGGCTCAGCCATAGTCCCCACCGCCATTTAAAAAAAATACGTAGTAAGAGTAAGCAGGAACCGTTATTTAGGAATGGGAGAAAGAATGTCAGCACTGACTGTGAAGAGAACAATAATGGGAGAGTAGTCAAGTGCGTTGGAAGAAGTCATCTCAGCTTCTTTAGGGAGTCGACGCAAAGAAACGAAGGTATAAACTTTTTAGTCTTTGTTTATTTACAAAAAAAAAAAAAAAACATTGTTCCCCGCAAATTATAGATTTTGTTCCCATTGATTTTGTTCTTTCTAATCGCACTCCCCCACTACCCATCATCCTTTCTTTTGTTCTTCTTCGTTCTTTAGTTTTAAATTTTTGTTAATCATTGAATCACTTTTTTGGATTGGTTTTTTTAATTTATGAAAACTCAACGTAGTATTACAATTTTGTGATCAAATTTTTATCATTTCAAAATAAATTAATTACTTTTTTTCTATCTTAGTCCTTATTCATACACTTCTTTTTCTTTTTTCTTTCTTCAATTGAAATTACAACAAAATTTATTTTTTATGTAATAGCTTTTTATATTTATACACTTTTTTCCTAATATTTTTTTTCATATTCATACACTTTTATTTTTATAATATATTTCTTATCTTTTTTACATGTTGTTAGTGTTTTAAGACATTAAATTTGTTTATTTTGATTTACATTTGATAAAATATGAGATTATATTTTCATATGTGTGGTTTACACTTTCACAAAATATTTTTTGGCAATTACAATTAAGTGAGCAAATACACTCTTTGTTTTTATTATTTATATTTGATAACATATGGAGTTACTTCTTCACATGCGCGAGTTACACCACTTTTATGTGTGTGTTACATCTTCCTCTATGCGAGTTACATTTGGACTTAGCTCAACAAGTTATATTTTGTATATTAGATTTTCAATCAACGTGAGTTACATTTCCCATAACACGAGTTACATTACAAAATAAACCCCTGCTATTGGAACAAAAAACAGTATCTTGCAAACAATTTTTTTTTGGGGGGGAAATGATTTTTTTGGAAAAAAATATATTTTAATTTAAAACATTTTTATGGACTTAATACTAAAAACAAAAACATTAACTTATTACTTTAATTAATTGAGTTAATTGGGCAATTAGACTCATTGTTTTCATTGTTTACATTTGATAGTATATGGACTTACATCTTCTTATGCGCAAGTTACATCTTTTTATGCTTGAGTTACATCTTCTTATGGGTGTGAGTTACATCCGGACTTGTCCTAACAAGTTACATTTTGCATACATCTAAGTTAGATTTTTCATCAATGCGATTTGCATTTTCCATAACATGTGTTACATCACAAAATAAACCCTGCAAAAAAATCAGCTTTTTTGCAAACAAACAAATGATTTTTTTAGTAAAACACTCATGTTTGGTAAAAAAAATGATGTTTTTAGCATAAATAATTTTTGAAAAACATTTTCTATGGTCTTAATGTTAAAAACAAAACATATTCCCTATTTAGGTAAAATAATTGAGCAATTAGACTCCTTGTTTTTATTGAGATCAATATTTTATTTCTTATTATCCGTATTAGACATGTTACATTTCGAGCAGCTTGCGGTTACATTTCTAAGCAGCGAGAGTTACATTTTTTTATATGCAAGTTACATCATCCTGCTCCTGGACAATGAAAAAAAAATTCATGCGCGTGAACAGTAACTCACATTTTTGTGTGTGGGAGCACCATGCTCACTGTGGGCTGCTCCCACGGTATAGCAACTGATTATTCCCTTCCCTAAATAATGTAATTGAATGAATGACAAAAACTTGCATGGAATTCTCCTTGGGAAGCGGAATTAGTGGGTATTCGAGAAGCTCTCAGCCGGGTGAAGGAGAAAGGATGGGACTGGGTTGACGTGGAGTCTGATGCTTCTAAGGCCATTGCGGAAATTCGAGATGGGTCGAGTGTTTTTATAGTTGGGACCTTGGCTGATGATATTAGAGAACTCCGATCTTTTTTCTTTGAGATTTCTTTTTCTCACGTTCGGCGATCAACGAACAGGGCGGCTCACGCACTGGCGCAAGGAACTTGTTCTATGTCTGATAGCATTTTTTGGCTTGATTTTCCTCCTTCGTTTATTTCACATGTACTAAACAATGATGTCATTAATGACAATTAATTCTCTTTTCTTCAACTAAACAAGCGCCAAATAAAATTGGGAAAAAATGTTACTCATTTTATGTAAAGGTTTGTCTCGCTAACATTTGTTTACCTTTTGCAAATCAACCACAATTATACCATTTTATTTTATTAATACACATGTCGAGTTAAACTGTGAGTAAAAGAAAAATAGAACGAAAGGTGTATAATTCAATGTGTTCTCTCTCAATAGGTGGATATGTCCATTCACTAGGTGAAAGTTCTTTATTAACAAGGTACTATTGATGGTAACCTATAGTCATCATTTGATACTACGTAATTCATAATTATTCTGATGTCTGAACTTTTGTGCTTTGAAATTAAAAAAGAACACGCCTCTTCCTAGAGACTAGAGAGCCCTAAAAACGATTAGACAATTTCATGAGAGAAATAATAGAGTTAAAATCATACTATCTAAATAGAGATTTGTCGTTTGATCCAAACAGGTTGACTCTTAAAAGCAGAATGCATTGCCTGTATTTGTAAACATTCTCCCCATCGTAATGTTTTAAGGCATTTTTCCACAAAGAAGTTATCACAATCATATTATTAATACAATGTAATTTTTATTAAATTATTTATTGATAGACGTACGGCACTGGGGCAAATGAAAATGATAAATGAAAATGATTTATTGATAGACGTTGATTGATACAAGAGTTTATTCCGGCCAAATAAATTGTGGTCAAGTGAAAGATATATGGAGTACTTATCATGCCAAATAAAAAATATATCATGTTTTATAAAGGAACATCATAGGGCTAATGTGCAAATTGATACAACCCAATTGCTAAGCCAGAGACATCAGTCATCCTAATTGTTCGATTGCATTTTACGGTGACAAACTGGGGACACTTGGAATTAGGGTACAATGCGGTGCCGGTCAAGTTTTGAATCGGGATGAGAACTAGAAAATAAGGTATAGGCCACTTCCGGTGTTCGACCAGCGAGAAAGAGATCCCAGTCTCGGGCCCTCGGGCCTCAGTTTTGGGATCGGGGGCCGGTTAGTCTGATCCGGTCCCAATTCTCAAGGCATTGATTTTTTTTATATGAATCATTGGAAGCATTTTAAAGGGTGTGGAAACTTAAAATCTGAAAAATAGTGGGGAGGGGTAGAGGATTTTTTTACTATGCTTTCTAACCTATTATAGTACGGAGTATTTGTTTTCTTAAATGTCAACATCCTATTTGGGATGATTTTCTAACATGTGACTGTCTCTTTGAAAGTGTCACGTGATTACATCGTACCACAAGGTTCAATGGAGGGTTTAAAAATTTAAAAGAATCTATCATAAAAACGGGACCATACTGGGACTAGAGGGGGATCGGAACCAGGAATATAGGTCGTAGTCAGTACAAGAACGAAACCGACTCAGAACTGGACAAGGTCCGCCCTAAAGTTGGAATAACATGTCTAATGAATTACAATCCGTTCAGTAAATTAAGCTAAGGAAAATTTTATTTACAGTCTCATTGGTAAATCTCTAATAGAAAAAATAGTATTTAGAAAGTTTCTCTTAAAAAGAGAAGCAAGCATGCAGTTATAAGTCACAAATCATAACCACACACCTCATTAAATAATTGCATATTTATGACTAAATAAGTGATTGTTTACAAAATGTAACTTGTAATTATAGTAGTAATTTAGTCATAGTAATTCATGTTCAATTTTTTAACTTAAGTAACTATGACACTATAATGTAGTAACTATTAATCATGTTTATGTATAAAAGTTTTATTTTAGTAATATTTTTTGGAAAAAAACTCTTATAATATAGAGCATGTAATTAAGAAGTCATCGAAAAAATATAACATTTAATTTAAGAATTAATTTTTACACATAAAATTTAGAAATAATAACGATATATAATACTCCTGAGTTTTCAAAAGTCAATAATGAAACCACTTTGTGATCTAGACAAAAAAGAGATATTGATTGTACTCGATCGAAAGGGCTGAAACACCCCAGCGATGCTTAGCTTCTGCCCTCACCACCCCAGCCTTCATAGGGCTATCATTGGCCTTCACCTTGCACACCGCAATTGTCCACCATCCCCGTAAGGCCGTAATTATACTTCTCTTTATCTTCGCAATAGGCGAGCAATGGTCCAAATCAACAGTGCGTGACTAGGATTTCTAATGGGGCTGATGCATACGTGGCTAGAGTCACAAGAGTTCGTATATCGTGGAACCCTCCCACGATGAGCACCGTACTCCTGCAATCGAAACGACACCGTTTAGCACTTTTTTTAAAAAAAAATTGTCCATGATCGAACAGTACACGCGTGTACATTGATTTTGTTTTTTATTTTTTCCTTTGTCCCAGTATCAGAGTGATGTAACTCACGTGTAAGGAAATGTAACTCACGTTATTGATTAATGTAACTCAAGCCCAGTCGAAATGTAACTTGTCCAATACACAGTCTAAGAAATAAAACATTGATTTCAATGTAAATAATGAAAAAAAAACAGTCTAATTGCCCAATTATTTTACATAAAAGTAATAGACCTAAATAGGACTAAAATAATAAGAAAGTTCCAAAGTAAGACTTCTTGTTAATTTATTACCCAAATAGGAGTTATTATTTGACTGGCCGTTTCTTATTCCAAATATACCCCTCCTGCTAGCTTTAACTTTAATTAATTTCCCTGTCAGACTTCTTTTCCTCCTCCCGTAGATATTTCTCGACCGGCCCGCCTCTCACTCTTACCTCTCATTAATTTTCTCTCCATTATTAGACCTTCTCTCCCCAACTTTTCTCCTCCCAGCACACATCCATCAAATCTCATCTTCAATTCATGATTTCAACTTCAATTTCTCCGAT